CGCTCTGCAGCGCACACACGCAGCAAAAACAACGGCAGTGCAACGCGGCGCAGATCTGTGAACAATACAAATGCAGGATAACGTGACTGTCAAGTGCAAACAATAGATAAATGTCTATGGATATGCGCAGGACCAACTGCGACACGGGCAAGCGGATGCGGTCGGCGCAGCCTATTCTGTTCCGTCGCCGCGAGTATTATCACTTCCGGCAGCAACCAGCTGTTGGCGCAAATCACGCATGCGGGAGTCCATGCGCACAATGACAGCGTCGGTCTCACGCACCGCGCCGCTGCTGCCGTCAACCAGCGAAATACGTTCCATTGCAAGCCGATGCAGCTCCCGTGTAATGGGCTCAGGCGTCTCGCCGGTGGTGGTGTGCATCGCAGGTGCAAGCGACGCCGACGGTTTTGTTGCCGCCGCAGCAGCTGAGGCTGCAGCACATGCAGTGCTTTGCACCCGTCGAAGCTGTTCTCGTCGTCTTGCGAGCGCCGCCGTGAGTCGATGGTTCTGTTCCGCCAGCTCCCTGCAGCACCCCTTCATGGCCGCCACCTCCGCCGTATGCCGCTGCTCCTCGCGGTCGAGCTGCCGCTGATGCTCCGCGTCCCAGTGCGCGCGCAGCTGCCCCAGCTGCATCGCCGTCGAGGCACCGGCACCGGTGCAGGGCGACACACCGAGGAGATCGTTGGCGTTCGTTGTGGCAGAGGTGAGTTGTTGGGACCGTGCTCGACTGAAAGCTTCGTAGAGAGTCAAATAGTCTTGTTGGGCTCGTCGCTGGCGCTCCTCAGCGCGCTTCGCCTGCGACTCAGCCGCGTTTACGCGTTCCTCCAGCAGACGTGCGCGGTGTGCGATGGTGTCGTTGGCAAGCCGCACCTGCGCCCGTACTTCGTCCTCGACGCGCTGCTGCGCATCCATCAGCTGTTGCCGCGTGCGTCGGAGATCTTTCTCCATCTCGGCCAGCCTGCTCTGCTGCGCCGCAAGGTGCGCCTCAGCGGCTTCCACTGCCGCCTCGCGGGCCGTGACGGTCTGTGCCCGCCGCGCCAGCTCCACCTTCGCCGCCTTTTCCCGTTGCCGGATCGCCGACTCCAGACGGACGAGTGCGGCATTCTTCTGCCTCTCCAGTTGCTTGCGGAAGCGATCCACCTGCACAGCCTTCCATAGCTCTAAATCCCACGCGGCGCGGTACTCGACGGTGTCGCGCACGTCGGGCGAGGCTGCAGCCGCAGACGCAGCCGCATCGAGGGGGGACATTGAGGCTTTTTTCAAATGACTGGTGCAGCGGGGCTGACGGCGTGCCCCGCCCTTTGCGGCTCCTCTCCGCCGTCATCGCCGGTGCAGGGTGCACGGAGGTGTACGCCTCATTCCCTGGCGCCGACGCACCCGTCTGGAATGACCCTCCACCCGTGGCCGTCATGGAAGGGTTGTTACGCTGCTGCGCCGTGTGAGACGACGCAGTACCAGCGCTGGCCGACTTGAACGCCGTGGCCGAGCGGCGGGATCTGTCGTGACTGCCGGTGCCGCTGCTGCCGCTGCTGCTGTTGGTGCTTCTCGCGGCTGCAGCGGTGGCGGTGGCGGCGCTACATGGGTGGCGAACGTCGCCGTCCTCCTCCCTGCTGCTCATGTGTTCTGCTTCTCCTTTTTCCTCTACGTTGCTGACACGCGCTCACCTTCTTCCTTCTACTTTGTTCTTTTTCTTGTTGAACGGTGCGTGTAAAGCGCACACCCTGACGTATATATGTATGTCTCCACTCCTACCGTGACGCTCCGGGAAAGAGAAAAACAAAAGCGGAGGGAGAGGAGAAGAAGAGAAGAAATCACCTTCGAGTGAAATCACAGCTCGGCAACAGTGCGTACGTACGACACAAGGGTAAGCAGGTACCTCTATGAATGGAAGTCGTAAACCAAGAATAATAATAGTAATAGTAATAATAGTAATAGACAACGGATGTGTATGAGGAAGGATGTACGGCGGGATGAGAACAGCGAAAATACATGAAGAGGTGAAGAAGGAGCACACACCTCGCGGGATAGGTGAGTGAGTGCGGTTGTGTATATATATATATATGTGTGTGTGTGCCGGAGATATGGGTGTTCGTCTCTCTACCTCTCTTCCTTCGCTGCGTCCGACTACTTTCTCTCTTCTTTGCAGTACCGCAATGAAGCATGAAAAAGGAGAGAAAACAAAAAAGGAAGAAGAATGGAGAAGAAGGAAAAGGCGTTGCAATGCAGGCGATTTCTTCGGCTGTGGAAGTTGCGTCTGCTGCTGCGTAAACGGAAGACCAAAAACTCAGCCGGTCGAACGCACTAATCATTACCAAAAAAAAAATAGTAATAATAAACCTCAGCCACAACTCTCATTCCAACGTGGACCTTTTCGTTGCAGATAACATACGCGTCGTGCGCACACATGATTCTTCTTCTGTTTATGGGGCGCGAAAAAAGTGTTGCTGCCTGCGTGGCGGGGAGACCGAAGAAGCGGCATGGAATACATTTTACACCAACCGCTGTGCGGCACTCCTCCGGATCTTTTTCTTTTCTCGAGTGGGTTTCACAAGCAAGCACACTTGACAGCGCTTTTTTTCTTCTTCTTCTTCTTTACTCACCTATGCATATAACTGTAAGCTGGGGGTGTGGGGAGTCCTTTTCACCCGAGATGCTGGCCCGCTGCTGCGTGCGTCCGCACGTTCTTCTTCTTCTCCTGTATTCCTGTCTTGTAGTGGATGACAGCACAGCACAACACGCGCCCTTCACCCTCCCCCCCTGCTGCTGCCGATGCGCTGCGGTTCAAACGCAAGAGCAGCAGCGCGCGTCCTGCGTCAGAGAGCACGTATTTAGAGAGCCATACAAGCAAAGAAAAAAAAAAGAACACTTATTGGTTAGATCACTCACAACAACTACGCTTCTTTTCCACTTTAACACTTCATAGCAACAAAAGAAACCACGACAGGTCGGCTTCGACTATCTCGCCTTCTACAGACAACACACACACACACACACACACACAAAGGGAGAGAGACACTGGTTGGTACAGGTTATCGTCTGTGCTTCCTCTCCTTCAAAGCTCTGAGTTCGTATGCGCATTCCGGTCCACTAACCGGGAGAAGATATATATATAGTGCCAGCACCGTCGTGCGCACGCCTCCGTCGCCGTTGCACCACGCTAACAGCCATCAGCCAAATAAAAATTAATGAAAAGATGGGGGGCGCGAGAGAAAGAAAAAGGAAAGAGAAGAAAAAAAAAGTGACGTCAGCAGGTGCTCCGTGATGAGAGCTGACTCCGTCGCCGTTACACGCAGTCAGCAAGCAAGCACACACGCACCTTGCCGGCCATTTTCTACCCATACCTTCACGCCAGTTCTTTGCGTTTGCTGCTGCTTTTTGCTTCGACAGTCGCTTCCTTTTTTCCATTGAGTCACGGTTAAGCTTCGCGCTGCACGTATGCGTCGAGGGCCGACAGCATCGGACTCCCTGCGTACATGCGGTGCAGCGTCTCTGCGGCGTAGGTGTGTAAGTCTTGCGTCTGCGCCAACTCCTTCTCCTCATCCAACTTCTTCACGCCGGATTGATGTTGACGCAGCATCTCCAACGTCGTCTGCCACAGACCGTAGGCGGACCGGGCGTTGTTCGGCTCGGAGTTGAAGAGCAGCGACTGGGCGTACTCCGTCACACAGCGCGGCAGGTCGCGCTTCACGTAATACAGCTCTGCCAGACGCGCATGGGCGAAGTACGAGTCCGCATCGAAGAGCAGCACCTCCTCGGCGTAGAAGATGGCCTTGTCGATGTTGCCGAGCAGGTAGTGTAGGTTGCTCAACTCACGCAGCGTGTGCATGGAGTCACCGCGGTGCACCTCAAAAAAGGTGTGCTTTTTTTCGTCCTCGTCCGTGTAGACGAGGTCCTCCTCCAGCACGCGAATGGCCGCCTCGTAGTGCCCATCCGCCTTGTACATCGCGGAGAGTCGCTTTACACAAAAGTCATTCGTCGGCATCTCTTTGAGTACCTGCTCGTACAGCTTTTTCGCCTCGCTGGATTTCCCCTGCGCCTCCAGGCAGAGGCCGCGCAGGTGGCTCACACGCACCGACTTCTTACCAAAGCGGTTCTCCAGCAGGTTCAGGTACATGGTCGCGTTCTCGATGCGGCCGCACTCTAACGACGCGATCAACACCTGCTCGTACACCTCGTAGAGCTCACTGGAGCTGAGCCCGCTCGAGCCCCCGGCAAGGAGGTCGGTGGCTAGGAAAAGAATCTTGTTCGCATTGCGCGCCCCGCTGGCGCGGTAGTCCTGAAAGAGCCGAATCTTCTGCTGCCGAGACAGCTGCTTCAGGTCCAGCGGCGTGAGGGACTGCAGGGAGAGTTGAGAGTCGGTGTCTGCCATCATGACGGATGGACACAGAGACACAATGACGAGCGAGAGGCGGACAACCGGCGGGAGAGGTAGGGGCTTCACTGTCGGAAGTAAACAAGCCAACGAGAGAGAAAAGGAGGAAGAAAAAAAGGTTGAAAATGCACAGGGGACTTGCGTTACACGACAGTACTAAATGATCCGCCCACGATGCCAGTCCGCCACACAGCGCTGATCGAACGGTATCGGAGATGTTATTCCTTCTTTGCTATTGTTTTCCGTTGGATGCTGTGGTTCTTCACTGTGGTCGCAGTCGAGTGGCACGGTCGTTGACTCTTGTATTTTTCTTATCTTTTCCAATGTAGTGATGCAGTGGGGAGTGTGCGGGTGGGTGCGTACGTGTGTGTGTTTGCAATTAGTGTGAAAGAGCCGCGAATATACAGAAAGAAGAGAGAAAGAGAGAAACGGCGGAGGATCGTAGAGGAGTGAAGCGAGACGACACCACAAAGCCAGCGCAAAAAGCCGCGTTGCCGTCCTTTCGGCTACTGCGACACAAGCACTACAGTGCGCTACAAGAGGCGTCTTCTGGGCAGCGAGGAGCAGATATATATATGGAAGAAGAACGATTAAAAACGCGGTGAAGGCGATCCGCCAACGAAGTCGCCTGCGTCATACGAGATAACAACAGGAGAGCTGGGTGCCCTGCAGCGCCTTCGATGACGGGGCGCGTATCAGGCACCAGCCCCGAACAATGCTCTTGTGGATATGACGTGGAAAATATATATGCCAACACCTCGTGAGGATGCACGTCAAGAGGGAGAGACGAAAGCCCAAGCATGTCGTCTTACCTCATTAAATTCAGCGTCAACGACAGCAGCAAACAGAGACGACCAAACATCGCAGCAAACGCCGCTTTCAGGCCAAACCACCCAACGAGGCAGTTCCTGACACACACACACCTACCCCCCTCCGCTCGTCTGCTTCTTAAATCCACTGGAAGCGCAGCAACAGCTCTTGGCCGTTCTTGACGGAGACGCAGCCGTCCGCCATGCGGCCGCGGTCGGCCTGCCACTCCTTGTACTCGGCGTACCGACGGCGACGGCGCACTCGCTGGGCGGCGTCCTCGGCGTCCTCCGACTCCATGCCGTCTCCGTGCGAAGAAGACGGGGGGTAAGAGGTCGCAGCGGTTTCCTCGCGTGCTGCCGCCTCCAGCGACGGCCGTCGCACCAGCAGACCGCCCGCCGTCCGCGTCGCGCCCGCCTCCATTCCTCCGACGGTGCTCCTCAGCTTTCCGTCCGCCTCCGCCTCTGCGCGAATGGCAGCCTCGACGCTCTGCTGGAACGCCGTTTTTTCCCTCGCTCGCGCCGCGGCATCCGTCGCCGCTTTCTGCGCCACCCGCGCCGCCCTCTCTCGTTGCCGCCTCGCCAGTTCCGCCTCCCACGCGGCCTTCTGCTGTGCGGCCGCCGCCGCCGCCTTCGTGTCCGTCACAGCAGCAGCGGCGGCGGCGCCAGCCTTTGCGCCTCTGCGGGGGTGCGCGTTGGACCGCCCTCGCGCCGCGTCCGTCACCACCGGCAGCGGCGACGAGCCGTTGAGGATTTGACGCACGTACGCCGGCCCCTCCATCGGCTCCTCCGCCGGCCGCAGCGGGTAGTAGCGGTAGTCGAGCTGGGCGTAGCGCTTATTCGGCAGGGTAGAAGCCGAAGACGAGGACGGACCTCCGTCTGGACTCGTGCTGGCACCGGTGGTGGTGGTCGTGGCGACCTCCGATAAGATCGAGGCCCGCAGCTGACTCAGCCGCATCGGATGAAGGGCGAACTGAACAGCGCCGAGGAAGCTGCCGCTCGCGAGAAAGCGCACGAGGGCGTTGCTGTCGGACGGAAACTGCGGCAGCGCCGCCTTGCCGGTTGGCGGGTCCACCGCGGCCGAGGCGTCGTTTGTAAAGGCCGCCGTGAAGAGGTCGTAGCGGTTTACCGTGTGGATGCCGAGGAAGGGGTCGATACTGCGCAGGCCGGCCCGCTCCTTCTCTTCCTCCCCCTCCCCTTCCTCTGCCTCGCCGCCGTCCTGAAAGCGCGACTGCAGTGGCGCCACGACGAGCACGGCCGGTACCTGCGTCACGAAGAGGCCGCCAGCGACCGCCGGCAGCTGCTCCGCGTCGAGCCAGAAAACTTCCATCCGCGCAGACGGCGACCACGACCGCACCGCCCGCGTCGGCACCTTCGCGTTGCCGACCAGCGTCGTCGTGTTGTAGAACAGGGAGGTCTGCCGCAGCTGGCCGGCGAGCCGCACCGCGACGTCGAGGTGGTGGGGGAACCACATCTCATCGCTCTCGCGTAGCACAAACACAATTTTGATCGCCTGCTGGAGGGCAACGAGCTCGTGGAGGAGGTGGGCAGCGGTGTCGATCTTGCGGAGGGGGCTCGTGGCGTTGAAGTTCTCCATCGCACGCCTCCACGCCCGCAGCTGTGACTGCTGCGCCGCGCCAGTGGTGGCCGCTGCGGTGCGCCAAAGGGGAGCGGCGGCGGTCGCCTCCACCACCTCGGCGATCGTTCCAACCGGCTGCGCCGCCTCCGCACCGACCACGACGACGTTTTCCGCACGGCTGGCCGTCCCGCTACGGCCGCACAAGTACGCCTCCGCCACTGCAGCCCACGGGGCGGTCGAGAGGGTGTGCTCCTGCGCCAGGCCCCAGGCCGCCGCCACCTCGGCAGACTCGGTCACCAACGTCAACGCCGCGTTGCCCGCCTGCGTCGCGAGCGACGACAGGGCCGCCACGACCTCTTCGGAGCCGTGCGTGGTGAGACGCAGATACGCCATCGACACCGCGGCGGGCAGCACCGATCGGCCCTCTCCGTCGTCCTCCGCCGCCCTTTGCACCAACCGCAGCGTCTCCACCGCCTCCTCGGGGCGGAACACGAACTGCAGACTCGGTACTACGTGAAAGGTCACGGGATCGACGTAGCGCACCGGCATCTCACTCAGCACCCACGTGCGCAGCTCCATATAGCTTACGCTACCGAGTTCGGCCTGCTTTGGGTAGGGCAGCGGAACGGACAGCGGGGCGGCAGCGACAAAGGAGCCGGGGATCACCTGTGCCTTGTGCACGCTGCTGTGAAAAAGGACGAGCGACGGCAGCCGTGTCGCAAGGCCGTTTAAGACCAGGTCCACGAGACGTCGCTCCGTGACTGCTGCGGGCACGCGGAACTCGTGCACCCGCAGCACCGCCGGCGGGATGTCAGTCGCTAGCTGGCGTACCTTGTGTCGAACAGCGTCAACAACATCCACTTCTACGCTTTCATCAGTGAAGAGAATCAAAACTGGCTGCGTTGCCTGGGGTGAGGCGGGAGACGGCTCTGCGAGCAGCTCCAGTAAAGTGGACGCGCTCGTCAGGTTAAATGGTCGCTCCGTCGCAACCACCGCGGCCTCGTCGAGCGCGACGTCTGCAGCGCCGGTCACGTGAGACAGACAGCACAGTAACACAAGCAATGCGCTGAGGACGATCTGATGGAGGCGTCGCCGCGACCCCGAAGATGTGTGTAGCATAGTGAAGCCAGATAACACGAGCGACGACGGTGTTTAGGAAAAAAAAAAGACGGTCTGCAACTCTGCGCAGAGCTGTAGATGAAAAAAGGGAAAATAAATACTGTGCAGTGGTTGACTCCGCGCCGATAGACACGTCGGACGTGGTCTGCTGTACGTGCGCCTGAGAACAGCAGCAAGATACCAAAAAGCGTTGATGGAGACCTTCTTGTGCGGGTGCGAGTGGGCGGGGTGTAGGAGACGTGATGGCAGTTCTTCTTTTTAGCTCTGCTAATGGATCAAGAAGAAGGAGAGGCGGAAGAGATGGTAGAGGAAGGGAGAGAAGGAGTTCAGCACGGCGTACGCAAGAAACAAAGGGAAAGAGGGCGGGGGGCCGCTATTGTCCGTCGTCGTCGTCGCCTGTGCGGAAGGGACATGGAGTCCATCCTCCTACTTCACGCAGAGTGTGCCCCGCCGCGCTGGAGAGACCTTTAAAACAAAGAAAAGAAAGAAAAGAGTGAGAGCAGCGAGCTGTCAGACCGTTGTGCTCTGGGAGAGAGAGAGGGGGAGAGAGACGCACCAGCCATACGGTCCGCTCTTGTACCTGTACTACTATCGTTTCCTTGCTTCGAAAAGCCACAACCAACGAAGTTCGCGAGCGGTTAACAGAAAGAAAAACTCTAGTCGACTACTCTCAGATCAGGAAGGAAGGAAGAAGAAAGGAGAAAGGAGAAAGATCAATAAAGTGCAAAACAGTGTCGTTACATCCCTGTATCGTTTTCATTTTCCTTTAAGGGTAGACGGCGTCATTTTCTTTTTGTATTTATTTTTGAACCAATGAGAACTTTACGAAAGGGAGTTTCTTGCAGACTCAGATCGTCTGCATTTCCACCTCGTGGGGTTGGAAAAGGGGCGGGACGGCGGGGAAACAGAAAACAGCCTTTCCTGGAGAGAGGTCGACTGGAGGGGAGAGAAGGAGAAAGGGATAGTAGTACAACATGAAGCTTTCGATTCATCTCCCGGCGATTTTTTCCTGGCGCAAGCTCTCAAAAAAAAACCCCAAAGCCGCAGTGAATGGCGACGTCTCCGTTGCCGCCTGACCCCGTCTTCTTATTTTCCGCCGTCACAAGAACGGGAAGACGAGACCGCACGTTAAAGAACACACAGAGCAAAGCGAAGGAAAAGAAAACGTTTACAGTCGGCGCACATCGGAAAAAAGCACAGCACACAGCCGTGAGACAGAGAGGGGGAGAGAAACATAGAGAGAGAGAGAGCACCGATTGATGTGCAAGTAAACAAAAACAGAAAGACGAGCGCGGATGCCTCTTCCTCGACGTCTTTTGCGCATACCCGTTTGGGGTAGAAGAGGAACGAGACGCGTTAAACCGCGGTGCAGGGAAGCGTGCACGCCGCCGCCGTCTACCCTTCCTTCTTTCTCTCCCGCGAACACAACGGTCTTTGCTACTCGCTCGCCCGCCTCTTGCGGGGTCACCTCGATACATTCCATTTCTATTTTTTTCTTTCTCTATATATTTTATTATCTTCGATCTGCTGCGACTTCGGGAAGTCTCGCGGGCGTGAGAACCAACACGCGTCGCTTTCTCTGTTTGAGTAATAGTACGTTAAGTGGGGGAGATTTGCGACCCGCCCCGGAAAAGGACGGACGGCGAGAGAAGAAATTAAATGATAGTGAATAACAAGTGAGAACTCCAAAGCTGGACGGTGTTCTGCATCCCTCCCTGTGTCAATTACGGTGCCGTGTTGCGTCGCTTCGTCGCTCTACTCGTCTTCCCGCTTCTGATTTGTTTGTTTTCTTCTTCGCTAACCCAACGTACGATTCGTGCCCCACGCGGCGCAGACAATCGTGTTGATGGGCGATGCAAATTCCAGCACACCGCTCGATAGCCGTAGCACAAGCGGTGGGAGCACCCACCTGGTGCTAAGACGTCAGTGCGCGACGCACCCCCTACAGTGGGGGAGAGGGGGAAGGCAAAACCAACCCAAGAGGGAGCGACATCGGGAAGAGAACTCACCAAACGAAGGGAGTAAAACAAAAGAAATAGGAGTTTGAAAAGACGAGTCGTTTTCCTGGCACTTCTCACATACACACACACGCGCCGTCAGCTTCACAGAGACGACGTAGCCGCCTTGCGCTTGTCCGCGCCGAGGGTGACGATGTTGTAGCACACCTCACGGGCCTTCACAAAGGACGGGATGGGTAGGAACTCAAAACTGGAGTGGAAGTTGTGGGCGCCGGTAAAGAAGTTTGGTGTCAGCAGTCCCTGTGCGGAGAGGGCGGCGCCGTCCGTCCCCCCACGCATGGGGATGATATTCGGCTTCACCTTCGCCTTCTCCAGCGCCTCTAGCAGCAGGTCGATCGCAGTGCGGTCGCCTTTGATGGAGTTGGCGATGTTGGCGTACACGTCCTCGATCTGGATCTCCACCTTGCCTGTGGGGTACTTTGCCTGCACCGCCTTCGCCACCTCCAGCATGCGTGACTTCCGCATCGCATACTTCGCCACGTCGTGTTCACGCACCATCGCCTGCAGGTGCGCCTCCGTCGAGTTGGCCGTCATCTTCGAAAACCACCAGTAGCCCTCCCGCAGCTCCGTGCACTCGGGCGTCTCGTCGCGGCTGAAGTGCGCAATGTAGTCCATCGCCATCAGCAGCGGGTTCACCAGCACGCCCTTCGCTGACATGGGGTGCGCCGCCACGCCCGTGAACCTCAACTCCGCCATGGCGGCGTTGAAGCACTCATACACCACCTCACCGAGCTCGCAGCAGTCGAGCGTGTAGGCGAAGTCAACGTTGAAGCGCTCCTTCACATCCAGCTTCTTCGCACCCGCCAAGCCAATCTCCTCGTCCGGCACAAAGCATACCACGATGTCGCCATGCCGCTCCGTGCTGGAGTCGAGGTGAACGATCATGTCCATCACGGAGGTGATGGCGGCCTTGTCATCCGCGCCCAGCACACTCGTGCCATCGCTGAACAGAATATCTTGGTTCTCGTACTTGCGCAGCTCGGGGTGCTCCGCCACGCGCATCCAGAGGTCCTTCTCCCTGTTCAGGCAGACATCGCCGCCCGTGTAGTGGATCTTCTGCGCCTTCACATCAGGGCACAGGCCGCTGTCGAAGGTGTCGAGGTGGCAGATGAAGCCGATGCGCGGCGCTCCCGACACGTTGCCAGGCTTCACCGCCGTCACCGTGGCGTGTGTGTCGCACACAACGTTCTGCAGGCCCGCCGCCTTCAGCTCCTTCGCCAGCAAGTCCGCCAGCACCTGCTGACCGGGCGTCGAGGGCAGGCACTTGCCAAGGTTGTCAGGGTTACTCTGCGTGGTGATGGCGGAGTACCGCATGAAGCGCTCCTCCAGGCGCTGCTCGATGGGCCGGAGAGACATGCGGGTAAATGCACGGAGGGCCGACTCTGCTGCTTTTGAAAACACACAGAAGGAAAAAGAAGCACTTCTGCGAAGGAGTGACGCGCAGCTTCGAAGGCAACGACAACAACAATAATAAATCGATAAGGTAACTCGAAAGCGACAAAAAGAGAAGAAATGAAATGAGAAAGACGACCGTCCTTTGGATGGGGAAAGCGCACCGCAGTATCGGCAAAGGCAAAGAAGAAAAAGACAGCGGAGACAGCGGAGACAGCGGAGACAGCGGAGACAGCGGAGACGTGAGAAAGAGAACGAAGCAAATACCTATCGCAACAAGAGTCTGGCGGAGGCAGCGTCAACAACGTCCTTGCCCTTTGATCCCCTCGCAGACGGAGAAGATCGCCCCACACCCCCTAAAGCGGGGAGAAGGAGGGGGGAAGGAAATGAAACGAACACCACAGGCATTAGAACAAGGTAAAGTGTTTCTTTTCACGGTCACCTGCTTCACATCATCGCTTGCGAGGGGGGAGGGGGAGGGCTTCTGCTGCTGCAGTGGCTTCTCAGTACCACAGCTCAGCCAACTTGCGGTGCCGCCGTGGTCGCCTTCGCTGTTCGTTCGCTTACTATCATTATTACTATTGCGTGCTCCTTTTCTTGATTTGAAATGAGAGTCTCTACATCGAGCGAATGGATCTCACAGAAACCCAAACAGAAGAAGAAAAGATTGACTTACATCACCGTACGCAACAACTTGCACAGCGAGAAACAGAAGGGTCTTACAACACTAACTTTACATCGTTCAGACGCACAGCAATTGCACTCGCGACGAGCGACAACACACACACACATACAGAGAGAGAGAGAGAGCGCGAATATGAGTTGCGTGATTGCATGAAGACGACAACAGCTGCCTTCTCCTCTGTTGTTGTTATTTGTGGTGGTTGCTGCTTCGAGGCAGTTTGTCCGTCTCACCTCGCTGCTGACTAGTACTCCACGAAGTGCTGCACCGCCTCCACTGCGGACGCCTCTGTGCCACGCAGACCTTTCAAATACTGCACCACTCGCGGTGGTTGCGTCGCGGCATCCTGCAACGTCTGCGTCTCCGAGTCCTTCATCGGGTCTGCCTGCGTCGTCGCCTCCCGTCGATAGTGCGAGGCCGCCGTCTGCGCCGCGTGCGTGCGCATCTGCATCATGTTCGCCAGCTTCAGCGCGTGCCGGCGCAAGTCCCACTCGTTCCAGAAGTAGTGGTGGTTGATGTAGGCGTCCACCTGCCCCGTCTGCGTGCCGCAGTCCGCCCTCCTGTCCGCGGTCTGCGTGTTCGCCGCGATATCCGACACCTTCTCCACACTGCGGGCCCCCTCGAGGTAGAGCTCCCCCGGTAGCTCATCCGCCAGCCCCATCACCAGCGACACGGACGGTTCCGCAGGGTGGAAGACACGCAAGCAGCCGTGCACGTACCTCCACGGGTCGGCCGCGAAGGCCCGCGTGGCCGCCGCATCGGCGAAGAGGAAGCGAAGCGGGCGGGCGAGGGCGGCTTCACCCGTGCCGCCGCTCACCTCCATGCAGCCGAGCGACGCATCGCCCGGGGCCGCTGCAGGCGACGAGGCAGCATCGGCGGATGGGAGTTGCCCTGTCTGCCCAGGCAGCAGCAGCCCCGATACCGGACGGCCCTCGATGTACTGCACCGGGCAGTACCCACGCATGGCACACAGGGACTGCGGGTAGAGCTGAGCGACAGCGGCGTCGACGGTGTGCAGAGGCAGCTCGGTGTAATAGCGGACGTGTACGCCGGCCGGTAGTCTGCGGCGAGTGGTTTCGGCGTCTAAGATGGCGTTGACCTCCGCCGCTAAGGCACCGGCAGTCGTCGTAGTTGCGGAAGAAGGGGGAGGGTGAGCCGACGCAGCAGCCGCAGAAGCAGCTTTCTTGTTCGCGTTCTCCCGCGCAAGGGCGTCCTCAGCCGCGTTCGTCGGCAACGTCGACGCGTAGCCCTCCCGCGAATCCGACACCATTTGCAAGAGGGAGGCGTAGTAGCTGTACTCCTCCGCGCACTTCATGCCGAGTTCGTAGGCGTCCGCCAGTTCCATGAATTTGGGGAAGACGACTTTCTTCGGTGCCGCCTCCGATGGCGCACCACCACCGCCGTTGTTGTCGGTGTTGTTGTTTGCTGCCGCCGCGGTGGGGTGTCGGCGGCTCGGCGTCAGCAGCTCCCGCAGTTCACTTAGCGTCGTCTGGTACGGCGCCAACACCTTTTCCGCGACGCAGTCACGCAGTTGCCGCAGACCGCACTGTGCGCACTTCAGCACGTGCAGCATCAACAGCAAATGATGGTACTCCTCCCGCAGCACGTTCATGGCCGCCGTGACCAACGCGCAGGTCGGGGACGTAAGCAGCGCCCGTGTTTGGCAAATGCGCGGCTCCAGGCTGGCGAGGGCATCGTTGCATTTTTTCTCCAGCAACGACAGCGGCGTGTCCGCGGTGGCGGCGAGCGGGGCCATGTCCACCCCGCCGCACCGACCCGTTTCTTTTTGGTAGAGCCGGAGACCCCAGGCGATGCGGCGGAGCTGGCGCAGCTGCCCGGCTCTCTCGACCCGGTCCTGCCGCAGGAACCCCGCCATCTGCGCGCGGGGCAAGGCGGCGCTGACGGCAAAGATGGCCTCGCCGTAAGCCGGGTCGCTGCTCGGCGACGTTTGCGCCGCCGCAGCGGCAGCCGACGACGGCACGAGTGGGGAGCCGCGGCCGTAGTGGTGAATGAGACTGATGGCCAGCGCGGCCCAGACCTGCTCCGCCGTGGTCAGGCCAGACTCCATCGACAGCAGCGCCTCCTCCAGCTGCACCGCGATCGCCTCCTTCTTCACGGCGGCCTGTTGAGCCTGCTCTGCGTGCGAGGTGCGGAGGTTATCGCAGCGGACTTGCAGGGACAAGGTAGAAAGACACGGTAGGCTGCAGCGGTGCAGCAGGTAGTCAACCATGTCGTCCGCCTGCTGCTCAATGGCGGTGACCGTGGAGGCGACGCTACCCGCCTCATCGAGGCCTTCCTTGTTGTTCAGCAGCCACAGTCGAGTGAGCAGAGCGGTGAGGTCGGTCGTCACGGCAGAACTCATGGGGCGTTCGCCGGCCTTTTTGTGGTAGCGAGACGCCGTCTCCTGCGCTGCGATAGGAATAACGTCCATAGTATGTATATTGCGTGTTGGTGTGTTGATGCGACAGACACCGCAATCGATGCTCTTGCTGGAAAGGTAGAAACACGAACGGGGAAGTAGCCAAAGGCGGCGAGCTTCGATAACGCGAGAAAGAAAGAAAGAGAAGAGGGGGGAGGTTTGCTTTGTGTTGTTGTTTCGTGGGGGGTGGGGAAGGAAGCCGCAAGATCCACGTCGAAGAGGGAGAAGCAGGGCAGGAAACACCGAGGACGGCAACGACACCACATGCGCACAGGAGGCACCGTAACGGTTCTTCTTCCCTTTTTTTTTTGGTTGTTGCTGCTGCGGATGTGGTTCTTTTGGCCTTGTCAGCGGTGCATTAATGGTTGCCGTTATATATTTCTCTTCCTCACATCGGTGCGTGTGCGTGTGTGTGTGTGTTCCGTACAGAATGGACCTTTGGTTGATCGAATAAGACAGCTGATCCCCCGCAAGCACACGTAGGGCTGTTGAATACGGTTCTCCTTCCCTTTCCTCCCACTCTGTTTGCTGTCTTTGAGGATAAGAGTGAGGAAGCCCACTTCCTCCAACACGTTCCTAAAAGGTGGCGGCCACCAAGGTATGGCCCGCAGCAACGCAACACAGTCATTTCCACCTCAGGGCGCCCTACACTCATCATACATTGCTATAACGAAGTCTCTGCTGCAGTGAGAAGAAGAAGAGGAGCTGTACATCCGCAATCAAGAAAGAAAAGAATAATAACAACGGTACAGCTATCTGAAAGCGTTGGCGTCGACACCGCTGATCCCTGTAACACACACGTATGCAGACGCTTCTCACGTCAGTCTCGCCCGCTACGGTCGGTGGATCAATGCGTCGACTGTCGCTGGAAAGGGCGAAGACGTGGAGGCGGGGGCGGTGTGTGCCGTCGCCGTGGGCATGGAAGAAGAAGGACGCAATCGAAGTCGCGGGATGTGATATGTAGCTGCCCCGCCGGCGGAAAACCAACGCAGCGCCGCCGCATCGCCGCTTCCGCCTCTGGCCTCGTTCCCCATCATCCCGTTGAGTGGGGGGGCGCCGTGCTTGGACGTCGTCGACGTGATGGCGGGTCGCTCAGGTGTTCGCTGCAACGAGTACCACGCCTCAAAGCTGTTCAGGAGGGTCCGACGACGCCGTGTGAGCTGTGCCGCCGCGGCCTCGTAGGCGTCCTTCGCCGCGGTCACCTTATCAGGGGCCACCGCCGTGGTCAGACGCTGCCGCAGTGCCGCCACGGCTGCCTCGTCCTGCCGCACAAAGTGCGCCAGTTGACGGCCCTCCGCTGTGTCGGTGACGTATCCGTCGAAGGCGATCGCCTCCGCACTCTTCGGTGGTGCGGGTGTGGAGAGAGGAAGCGACCATCCAGCAGCAGCAGCAGCTGCAGCTGACCCAGCGTCGGGTTGCTCTTGTGGGTGTTGCGGTGGTGTCGGCGCGGGTGATAGCGACGTGAGGTAAGCCCGCCGTGCATCGGCGTGCTGCGTGCGGCGCACCCTCTCCCCAGAAGGGAGGGGCGACCGCAAACTCAACGGGGTGCTTGTCGTCGCGGGCACACCCGTCGAGGGCGCCCCGCCCTGCTCCGCGGCACTGCCCACACGCCCGGCGGCTGGGTTGGTGCCTTCTCGCGTCTCTGCAGTGGAGGACACGGCGGCCTCCTCCGTCTCTGTCGCTTCCTCCAACGTGCTCAGCATCCACGAGACGGCGGTTGTGTTGGGCGACGCCGGCCACGCAGAAGCCTGCCGGCCCGCCGGCGCAGCCCGTGCGGGGGATGCTCTCGGCGCTGCCGCTGCCGCTGCTGCTGTGGCTGTGGTGGTCTCTTGAGATGGGGCAGGCGCACTGCCGTAGCCGACGCCGCAGTCCGCCGTCACCCACGTAGGGCTGAGCTCCTCGAGCAATCCTGTTTGATCGAGACGCCCACCAGCACCAGCAGAAGTAGTAACACCGGCGTTGACAGGCGAACTCGCAGATGATGCGTGGGAGTTCGCGCCCGACTTCTGCGACGGTGATCGATGCCTTTCCAGGGTGGCGTCCGTCAGCGCATTCTCCGTGCCGTGTCGCACCTGACTTGTACGCTGCCGCTCCTGCGCCGGAGAAGCCGAGAAGGCGCCTTTGGCGAGGGACGAGAGATGCGAGGAGCGGGAACTCGACCGGCGCGACGTTCCGGCAGCCGTCCCATTCCAGAAGGCAGCCGCCACCGTGCCGGCTCGTGCAGCGCGCAGGTCGGCCATGGCAGCGCACAGCCGCATATCACGCTCCACCACCTGACGGCGCAGCAGCTCAAAGCAGGTGTTCATCTCCTCAATTGTCGTGACGGGTAGCATTGGCAGCCGGCCGGCGATGAAGTCTACGACGGACACGTGCAGGGACGCACTGGCCGGAGACATGGGCCAGGGAAAGGGGGAAGGGGGCGAAGGCGGTGATGGCGCCTCCGTCGCTGCTGCGTCCACAGGGCCGTCATAACGGTCGCACTTCATTCGAGAAGACGACGACGCAGACGGAGCAGCACCGGCTTTCGTGCGCGAAGCGTGGGCGGCTGTCGAAGCGGTACCCGCCCTCGCCTTCTCCTCCGCCGTGCGGCGTAACGCCTCTGCCGCGAGCAGCGCGTTTCGCCGGTTCAACTCCACCTGCATGCGCACATCGCTTTGCAGGGTGGCGACCTGTCGCTGCAGCTGACGCACCTGGGCGGCCGAGTCGGGGGTGCGGTGTGCGTTGGACTGCTCCGGCACGCACAAGAGCTGCCGCGCCAGCCGAAGCGTCGTAAGAGACTCCGACAGGTGTGCGTGCTCGGACCGAACGTGGGCGATGACGACGGTGTGGCAGGCACCGCCAAGATAACCCTTCAACAGCACCGTCAGCTTACACTGTCGGTACTGCAGGAAGGACGCGGAGGAGAAATAGCCAGCAGAAGAAGAAACGGCTGCGGATTTGGTCAAGGGTTGGGTATCGCGACCGACTTGGCGGCGGCCCTCCCGCGCTGCTGCGTCGACGAGCCCTACGATCACCGCCCGCAGCGCGATCAGAGACGGACGAACGGCGGCTTCCTCCGCACGGCAGCGCCCTCCCGGCGCTGTCACGCCACTCAGAGAACTACTTCCGTTACTACCGACAGCAACAGTAGTAGTAGCTGACGTATTTGTGGAGGTGGTGTGCACGCTAGCGAGGTCGACAAGATGCAAATGCGCGTGTCGTACCGCTGCCACCTCGTTCCCCTCCTCCGTCACATCCACCTCCTCCGCGAGAACGTCGACCATCACGATCACATGGCCAAACGAGTTTGCGCGCGACGCCTGAGCACGACGGCAGCGATGCACGAGGGTGATGGCCTCATTCGCACTGCCACACGATCGCTGCGCCACCCCCCGGATCACCACCTCGCCGTGCCTGTCCATCGCAATAAACGGCGTTGACGACGCAGCGGCAGCACCGGCTGTACTACTACTCGTTGCGGACCCCCCTGGCGCTGTGGAGAACGCTGGAGAGGGGGGAGAGGACGGGGATGGAAGAGAAGAAGATGTGGGCCGCGCCGCGGCCACGAAGGCGTTGACCAGATCGACATCGCCGGCACCGACCTCGGCGAGCAAATCCACCACGCACTCGCCTTGCAGCAGCAGGCAGGACAGCGTCACCTCGTGCCGCATGGATGCCATCACTGCTGCCTCTGTGGGTGCTGCGGGTGTTGCTGGTGCACTGTCTGAGGCGTCAGGCCGCCCCCACGGCACGCCCACTGCTGCTGCTGCTGAGGAGGAGGAGGTCGACATGGCAGCAAACAGCGCGAGAAACACACGCGCGCACAGCCCCGGCTCATCTCCGTCGCCGAACGCCGTCGACGTCTTGCCCGATCCCTGCTCCCCGCAGCACAGCACCGTGACATCTCTCCCCTCCAACAGGTAATCCGCCGCACAAGCCTGCGCCGTCGCTGCGAGAAAGGCGGCGGTGTCTGCATCGTGCAGGTCCGACACAACTCCGTCCAGCGCAAAACTCTGAGGCTGTTGAAAGGGCCGTCGCGGCATGGGTGGGTGGGGAGGACGGGGCGGTTCTTCCAACGCTGCCGCCGCCGCGGCGCCTCCTTTACGGGCACGCCTTGGCGACTGCGGACTGGGAAGCGAGGAGCCACTCACCGAGGAGCTCACGCACGATATGGACGAGGGCCCGCCGGCGCCGCAGTGAAGAGTGTGCTCCGCGGCGTCCACGCGGACGCACGCAACGTCGCCCGCGGCTGCGCACGGCCGCACACGCGCGTAGACGCAAATGTGCTCCGGCGGGGTGCAAATACCCCTCGCGTACATCCAGAAGTCGCCAGAACTGAAGAGAGAAAAGAAGAAAGAAGAAGATACGTATCTAAGTATTTCGTTCAAAGCTATACTACGCACACTTGCAGAGCGAGACAGGTTCTACGACTTCAATAGGTACATTGAATTGAAGACTTGTGTGGTCGCCGTTGCGGTTGTTGGAATGGAGAACAAGGAAGAAAGGACACATGAAGAGAAACGGAAAAGGAAAACTGACGTTCTTATCTAGCTGGAACGGAGCGGCAGTGAAGGTCGTCCGTGTTCTGCGCACGCCTGCATCCATACAGGCGTTTTGGTCGATTCAAACGGCGTGCAGTGTGGGGAGTAGGCTCGTTGTAAGAGAAGAGCAGAAGAAGAAAGGACAGAGGGGGAGGGGGAAAACTTTAAAAAAAAATGTAAAGTAATGGACCGAGATAGAGTCATAAGGTCGGAAGATGAAGAGGGAACACAGAACAGAGTAAAAATATATATATATACTGCTGTAGTCGCGTGGGGGCAATGATAAATACCACGCCATAGAGGAGAATGAAGAAACCGGCACGCGTGATGGAGAAGCGTTGCACAGCAGCGAGCGTTGCTGCTGGGCCACCCGCGCTACACATCCGCCCCTCCACGCGCGACAGACGGCTCAACGATCGCATCAGTTGGGCCCACAAGCCACTCTTACTATGCTTCATCACGTTTAACTTCTCTTTTTTCCTTTCTCTTCTCCCTTTTTTTTTTTGAAACGCACTTCGTCGCCTTCACACCGCAGTGACAGAAGAAAAGGAATCCTCTCACAAAGAACAAGGTAAAACTATTGTATGAAACAGCGGCAGCAACCATCACAGAGGAAGAGGAAAAAAAAGAAATCAACGGCAGCAAGCAGCAGCTGCAACACGAAGACGAGAGAGCAAAAATAGTTCGAAAAACATGTAAAAGAAGGGTTTAAAGAAGAAAAAAGAGGGGCAGTAGTTTGCCCATATCGCATCGCTTCGATACATCGCAGAGAGCAGCGAAAAAAAAAACCCCGTTCTACAATTCATAAGATAAAAACCAACTAAGCCGCAAAAGAGCCGCAAAAATCAGAGACAGGAAATGAAAACGGAAAGAAGAGCCGCCACTTGAGAATACATCGAGAAAACTCAAAACAAGAAGAAGGGAAAACAATCATATATAAATATATCGTGAAGCTTGAAATACCTTGGGTTTGTGCATACACACACACCTCACTTCCGTGGCTCAGGCGCTCCGTTTGGTGTATCGCGTTCCTCGCCGCTAAAAGGAAAACATAAAAAACAGAAAAGTAGTGTTATACAAAAGAAAAGGGTTCCATATTGCAAACACGCACGCACGCGAATGATACTTCAACGTCAGGTGACAAGTGGAGGAGCAGGGAGGCGTAGGAGAATAACGGCTAGCCTACGCAGGAAGAAAAACAGAAACAAAAACAGAAACACAAGAAACATTAAAAGGCCGTACCACGTCCGGTACAATCCATTCCCCCACTTATCATCCCAATTGTGTGTGTGTGTGTGTGTGTGTGGTGATCACTGCAACAAACATCGGGGTCCGTTTGATGCTGCAGTTGACCCTCTCACGTTAACAACAACAATCGAAGGAAAGAAAAAAAAGATTTTGATAACAGAAAGAAAAAACCAAAATTGAAAGGTTCAAGATGCTGTTTGTAAGTGGCTCCACGCACGCAACGTCAACGCGCGCAGTCGGATTGGCACGAGAAAGAATGAAAAAGATGTTAATCATTATCATCATCAGACAACCCTGTGACCGCAGGCCCGTCAAAGTCATCAGCAGTCACGACTCTCCGGCACTCGCTTCCCCTTTTTCCACTCCTCCCCCACCCCCAATAAAGGCACAGTTATCGAAATCAGAGCAACGGAGGAGCGCCGCACGAGGGAGAAGAGAGGTACTCTTTTTCTTTTTCTAAACCAACAAAAGCGATGCATACAGTAATTCGGCAAACAAAAGAGACAAAGAAGATACATAATTATATAGATATATAAAGAAAGCGACAGAGGGAAAAAAAAAGCTAAAGAGTACTCCTTTACATGAGTGCACTGCGTGTGTTGCGTGCGAGCGGAAAAGGCGGAACCGTCTCTTATGACGGATCCAAAAAGCACGTCAACGAGGAGATTGGAGAGAACCTGCTGAACTGCCTTCGCACGACGATAACAGAGAGAGAGAGAGAGAGAGAAGAAAAAAAAGGAAATTGTTTTGTAATGCATTCACTGTTCTCTTGCTCTCTGTCCTCTTCGTGGTCTACTTCAGCGTAAATATGTATATGTTCCCAAAACTGTCGCCGCAGGCCATCCTCTCGCAGCTACCAACCGCCAGGCAGTACACAGGGGCTTTGCAGAACGCGCTCGTCACCTCGGCGCCGGATTCGATGTCCATGACGTAGATAAAGCGGTTGTTGCAGGCAGCCACCATGTACCCCGTGAAGGCACCGGGAGCTGCACTCGACAGCGTCCAGCCCAGCTTCGGCCCGCGTGCGCTGCGCAGCGCAGAACTCGCCACGTGTGCCGGACTCAACGACAGCGTGCAGCTGCCATCCTCGGCCGACCACACGCGCAGCAACGACTCGTCGTTGCTAATGATGTACCGCCCATCGCCTGTGTAGCTGCAAGAGAGGATTATCCCCGTGTGCCCGGTGAGGTGCAGTCGCGTCTTGGCCGTGGTGGCCGACCAGACCCGAAGCGACTTGTCCGCCGAGGCGCTACACACGTAGTTGCCGTCGGGGCTGAAGGCGATGGCGATGATGATGCCGTCGTGTGCCGTGTAGCTCAGCCACTCCTTTCCCCGCTTCGTGTCCCACAGGCGGCAGGTGCGGTCCTGGCACCCGCTGACAAAGTACTTGCTGTCAGGGCTAAAGCAGCAGCAAATTACGACCTTGGGGTGGGTGAGGGTCAGCAGCATCCGCGCCGTCATGACGTCCCACAGAATCATGGACTTGTCTTTGCTCGTCGTCGCCAGATACTTGCCATCAGGAGAGAAGGTGGCGTTGATGATGGTGTCTTGGTGGCCGGTGAAGATGCCCACCTCGGCCCGCACGCCGAGGTTCATGAGCGAGATGGAGGCGTCCTCGTTGCTGCAACTCACGTACTCCGTCTCGGCCGGCGAGAGAGCGATGCACTTCACTCGAGTGGCGTGTCCCAGCATCGTCGTCGTTTGTAAGCTGTGCAGCGGGCGGTTGAACGGCGGGGCCACCTTCCGCGCCAGTTCCTCAGCGTGGGCAACCGTATTTGGCACCGACGCCACCGTATTCGTGACCGTCATAGACCGCAAATCAGGCTGTATCGCCGCTGCGTCGCTGCTCTGCTGCAGCGGTGCGATGACACCGGCAGCCCCGGCCGTCGCCGGCATCCAGTCCATCTCATCCACGCACACGTCGAAGTCGTTGAACGTAAAGTAGCGCTTCGCTTTCAGGCTGCTGCTGCGCCGGCTCCGCCCACCCGGCGTGTTGTCGGCCGCGGAGTTCTCCAGTGTTATCGTCGGCTTACGCCCAGCTAAGCGCCAGTGCTTCGTGCGCGCCTCATCCTTCGAGATGACGATGTCGTCGTACACAAAAAAATCCGCATCAATACTCAGCGGCGCCTGTTGCCGCTGGGTCTCCAAGTCCTCTCCATGGCGAAGCCAGCTGGTTTTGATGCTCGTGCGAGCCCCGAAGGCGTTGCCGTGGCCTGGTGAGATTAAATCCGGCGCGCTCGTGACGGTCGTGCTGACGGGGCTGATAAGCTCTGAGATGTCCGACAGCATCGAATCGCGCATGTTGTGTCCCTGCCCGGAGGTGGAAGCGGTGGAGGAGAGGTGGTGGTGCGACAGGTGCGGCGGGTTGTGCTGTGAGGGCTGCGAGCGGGTGCTGGTGGGGATGCCCCAGCGGGCGCCATCGGAGACGGTGAAGCCGAGTGCCGCCGCCAGGGCGGAGATACCACCGCCACCGCCACCGCCGCGCGTCGACGACATGCGTTGCTGCTTCGTGGGACTCACCGGAAAGGGGCTCCCCTGCAGAGACAGCTTCGATTGCCGCGACGCGACACTCGCGGCGGTGGCGGCGGCTGCATCAGGACTAGCCGCCCCATTCGTGTCCCTCCCACTCAGCGGGGGTGCGATATCGCCGCTGCTAAACGATACGTTGTCCCTCCGGCGGTTGCGGCGGCCGACGCTCGCGACCTGGTGTGGCTGTGTCGTGTCCGCCACGGCGCAGGCGGGTCCCTCGCTGCCGCTGTCCACCACCACCTTCACGCCGCGCAGCTGGCGCGGCGGCGAGCTGGAGAGTGGGGAGCTGTCGCCGTTCCCTGCCGCCGGTGTCGGCACACGCGCGTTGCCGCCGGCGTAGACGTACGTCACGTGGCTTGGTCGCCTGTTACGCGGCGCACCGGTAGTGGCAGATGACGTGCAGACGACACAGCCCATTGGACTAAAAACAAATCTGTGTATCGATAGAGATAGCGATCTATCGGAGAGGTATTCGAGAAGAAAAGAGGATAATACAGCAGGTGGGGTTGCGTTCAAATTAATACTAAAAGAAGAGAGAAAAGTCGCATGTGCGAATACATCAATTTGTGCGAGGTACTTTTGCTTCCTTGTTGTTTCTTCAAGGCGTTTCCCTTTTCCTTTCTGAAGTAGTAGTAGTGGTAGAGGTAGTTGTCGTTGTTCGATTCCCCTCCCACGCACGGCATCCGCTCGTCTTCACCCAGTTATTTGACTCCCTGGGCTACGCGCTGGGGTGTAGCTGCGTGCGTGTATGCGTGCGTGTATGCGTGTGTGTGGCGATGCTTAGAGGAGTGTGGGAGTGGAAAGGACAGAAGATGAACAAAGATATTTAAAAATACTGAAAAAGCGGATCACGGTTGCGCTGCTATCCGACTGCTGAACGGACGGAGAAAGCGGAGAAGAAGGGAGAAGGGGAGAACGGGAGAAACAACGTGGAAGAAGGTAGAGGCCGCAGAAAGCTCACTCATGCGACTTGTGCACGACTCGTGCGGCAAAGAAGCGCAAATAGAAAACAAAGCATGAAAAACCTTCACAAAGTGTGCGCTCCATCGGAGAGAGTCACCGCTGCGGAAGCACACACGCAGAGGACAAGTGTCTTCCTCTTTTTTCTTGCTGCTGCTCTTGCTGCTATGCTTCCTGCTGCTCTTGATGCTATGCTTCCTGCTGGCCCACGTGAAATAGACGTTGCCGGCGGTGAACGCGTTGTATCGATGCCGTGCGTTATTATTATTATATTTTGGTCCGAGACCGTGTGTTGCCACGACAACAACAAAGATATACCTTCTCCTGCTCGTCCGCTTCCATGCGAGAAAAAAAGGAAAAAGAAGGGGTGTGGAAGGGTTGTTTTGCGTGGCATATATATGTGGGTGGGTGTGTGGGAGGAGGAGGAGGCGCGCTTCTCAATCAACGCACCGGTTTTCTGCCTGTGGAAGCTACAGCTCCCCCACGGCATCATCAAACACACACGCACACACACGCACACGCACAACGGTGCAGGGAGACAGACACAACGGAAAGAGAAAACAGTACCAAAAGAAACACAAGCCGGGAGCAAAAATACCTTCAGAAGAGAAAAGAGAAAAAGAAGTGTGCAGGGCTCTGATTCGTGGCCAGCACCACGCCGCAACACCGCTTCGATGTGCCATCGAGTCGAGCAATCGAGCGAGACAACGGAGAAAGGAGAAGAAAAGAAACATGTAGCATGAAACGCAGCGAACAAGACAGCGAGAGAGAGAGAGAGAGAAAGGGAGAGCGAACAGAAAAAAGGGGGGGCGGCTTCCTCTGGAGCCAAGTGCGAATTTCGCTCCGCCAGCACACACAACAACAGCAGCGCTTCACGACGGGGCGTAGAAGCGCCTGGTAGTCGCGCTCGCGGCTGTCGCGGACGCATCGGCAACGGGCGGCAGCGGCGGCACGGAGGACGCGCCCTCCGCCCCCAGCCCCCAATCGGGCGGATAAAACGGCATCGGCCCGCTTGACGTCCCACGAAGGTAAAAAGAAGCGATGGCGCCTGCCGCAGCAGAAGATGGCGGCCGCATCGCACTCGAGGGACGCTGTGGGAAAACGTACGACGGCTTGTACCCGTGCGCAGTCGCAGCTGCACTGCCGCCGCCGCTGCGGTAGGAGGACCCCGGCGGTCGAACACAGGCCCTCCCGCCCTCCCACCCCCCGTCGCCGCTCCGTCCGTCGTCATCCAACATGAGCTCCTCCACGTAGGCGAAGGTGTGATGCAGCCCACTCACGACGGCCCGCACATCAACATGCTGCAGCCCGGTCACGAGCTGGTAGTGCGGGTGGTGGTGGCCGGCGGTGCCTGCCAAGGTCGGTCGCCCCCCAGCCATCGACGGCGTGGGTAAGAAGGCGGTCGCAGCGCCGCCTACGGTGAAGGGGAGGTAGTTCGGGGAGCCGGGCAGTGCACTGCCGCTCAGCGCCGTCAGCGGCATGCCATGCGACCCACCAGCCGACCCACGAGCAGGTCCGTTGCCGCTGCTGCCCGCAACTGCCGCCGTTGTAGTTCCACCAACGACCGCCGTGCCCGCCATGCCGTTCCCTGTGCGGGTCACCTCGCCAAAGCAGTACACCTGCGCGTGGGAGTGCGCCGGCCGCCCACATGCGTCGACCTGGCAGCACGGCAGCACGCACCACGGCTGCGGGCCTTCCATCACGACGACGGTGTGCTGCCGGCCACACGCGATGCTGCGGGCGACGCCGCCGGCGACGTACTCGAGGCCCACGACGCGATACGGCGCAGTGAAGGCGTCGGGGCTATTGGCGGTGGTGCCGCACTGCCCACTTGCGTTGTCGCCCCAGCAGAACACGTCGCCTTTGGAGGTGAGGGCGACGGTGTGGAAGGAGCCACACGCGACATCCACCACGTGCTGCCCCTCCAGCGCCCCTTGCACCAACGTCGGCACGTACGCGGGCGTCTTCGAGCCGTGCCCGAGACGACCTTGATAGCCGACGCCCCAGGTGAAGAGCTCGCCGTGCTCGTTGATCGCGCCGCTGTGCCACTGACCGGCGCGGATGCGTACTACCCGCTCGGAGGCGGCGCTGCTGCCGCTGCTACTAGCCCCCGCGGCGGCCCGTCGACGACCCTTGACGGTCACCAGCTGCGGCGTGAGCACCACGCTGCGGCGCTCGTTGCTGAGCGACTCGCCGAGAACGGCGTGGTAGCGACGTTCGACCTCCTCGGGGGTCCCGAGCCCGACGCAGTCCACAAGGCCCCAGCTGTAGAGGGCACCGTCCTCGCTGAGGGCCAGGGCGAAGAAGCTGCCACAGCTCAGCTGAATAATCCGCCGCCCCTCCAGCGTCTCCACCAGCACCGGGGTGTCGACCTTCTTCGTGTGCGGGTCGAAGAAGCTGCGGCCACGACCGCTCTGCCCGTGATTGTTGTTGCCCCAGAAGAAGACGTGGTGGCCCTCGACGACCGCCATCGCAAAGGCGTAGCCGGCGGCGACGTGCACGGCGGGGATCTGCTCGAATAAAGGGATGCGGCGAGGGATGAGCAGCTCCACCGGCACCTCCACGCCGTTCCCATCTTGGCCGCCGTTGACGTTGCTGCTGTTACTCCCGTTCAGGCCGCCACCCACCACCGCGGACGCCGTCCCACTGCCACCACCGCGACCGCCGGTCAATGCGCCGCCCAGCCCCAGCTGCCCCCACTCCCCGTTGCCAAAGGTGTAGATGTTGCCCGTGTCGGTCAGCGCGCAGCTGTAGTTGGCGCCCAGCGCGATCTCGCGCACCCGCACACCGAACGGAGTCACTTGCGCCATCGTCGGCGTCGCCTCATCGCGCTTCGCGTGGGTGCCCAGTTCGCCGTTGCTGCCGGAGCCCCAGCTGAAGAGCAGCACACGCCGCGGCACCGGCGGGCCGCGCAGCAGACGCACAAGGCCCGCCACGTTGAGGTACTCCGCCATGGCAAGCACGCCGTCCACGTTGAGGTACTGCGGGATCATCACCGCTCCGTGGCGCAGGTAATTCAGAACCGGTAGGAAGTAATCCGCATCGAGGTCGAGGAGCACTGCGTTGTAGCGGTCCGTGTCGAGGGGGACAGCGGAGATCGCCTGCTGCGGGTTCACCGCCTCCCCGTCGCCCTCTTCTCCTTCCACCACCACCGCCGCCGTCGTAGCACCACCGATGGCGTCGCGTACCGCGGAGACAGCAGCAGCAGCAGACGGCGCTTGTGCGTGCGACTGCGGTTGCTGCTGCTGGTGCTGCTGTGGTGGACTGTGGCCTTGGAAGTCGATAAAGGAGCGTCGCGGCGCCAGAAGAACAAGGGGGGCGGGTGATCGGTTCGAATGGTCGCCATCACCATCTGTCGGTCCTGCGCCCTCCGCCAGCACCGCAGCAGCTGACCCGTTGCCCAGTGCGTCCGTCCCAGCAGCGGCAGCGACGCCGCGTTCTTCACCTGCTTCTCTGCGCTCCTCGCCTCTGCTATCCTCGTCGTCCACCGCAAGCGACCGAGCATCGCCTCCACCACCGCCGCCGCTCATCAGTGTCATGTCGCTGCGCCTCTCCTGTCCGGTCTCCCTGCGTGGACGGGCTGCCACCTCAGCGGCGGCAGCGGCAGTTCCATCGAAGCTTCTGCGGTGGAAAGCGACGGGATCGGAGGCGGTGGCATCGCGATGTGCCGACTCACCAGCCGGGCCGCCGCGCCGCGCCGACGCCTGCTGCTGCTGCTGCTGCTGCTGTGAGGTGGTGTGGGTGGTGACGGCCGTGTGAGACACGCACAGAGAGAGGCTAACATGCTGTCCGGGTCCGCCATCAGCGTCGCGACCGTCGTGGTGATCAGTCTACCACCCACGTTCAGCAAAACCCAGTCAGGGGCGGAGGCGGTGTGGGCCGTGCACACCGGCTCCGTGTCTTTAAAGGGCTGATAGCAAAGGCGACGCTCATGGAGGGGGAGCGGGGATTTGCTGCGGTGGTGGTTTGTGTCGTCGCCCACGCCGATCCTGCCGCTGCCTCGTCCGTCACAGGTCGGGCTGCTTGCTGGTGTACGCGACGCGTTGGCGGCCTTTGATCCCGCAATACAACCGATGCCGCCCCTTTGCTGGGTGATGACGTCGCCACGGCCGCCACCACCAGCACGGAGCACAAACCCCCGTCCCCGCGGAGGTGTCTGACGGGCCGTGTCACGCTCCCGCTGCTGCTCCTCCTCCGTCCATCGCCGTGCAGCAGCAGCAGCAGCAGCAGCAGCAGCAGCAGTGCGCGCGTTTGTCGTAGAAGGCGCGGGTGACGGAGAAGAAATAAACGACGCAGCGGCCGCGGGCCGGGCGACGGCGTCGCCGGCGGCCAGCGGGGACGCCACCGCAGCCGACGTCGGCACCGACGACAGCGACGGCGACGCAGGGCCGGCGACCATATCGGCCGGCCAGGCGGAGTTAGACAGAGATGTATGCGGCGGCGGCGGCGGCCGTTGTCGCGTGTCCGCTGCCGCCGGTGCGTCCATTGCGTGCACGTCGTCAGCGGATGTACTCGTCAGTAGGGCTGGACTGTTCAGGCTGTGGTACTCCGCACTGGCGAGGGCGTCGCTGCTCTCGCTCCGCCGGCTTCGCGGGTGCGGAGAGTCCGCGCCGTTCAGCCGTGCAGCGGCGGCGGAGAGAATCAGCAACGCCTCCGGCGTCGACGGAGAGTGTTCCTGCGTATCGAGCTGGGTTGTGTCCGATCGAAGAGTGGGGTCGTAGGACGCACCCACAGCCCGTCCGGATGCTCCGATGAGGACCGGCGCTGACGGTGCAAAGCCACGTGTACTCCCTTGGACGCGGCCAGGGGCGTCCATATCGCGTTGGCCTGTTCCCTCAAACGGCCGATTGCTGTCGGCGAGCGAGGTGGCGACGGGGCTGCTCGACAGTGTGTGGTCGGACAGCGTCGCAAAGGTGCTGGTGGTGGCCGCCGCGATGCCGGGTGGTTGGCTTGGAGCCAGGGACCATCGCTCGCCGCTTCCCGGCTGATACCCCTCCGTCGGTCCGTACTTGACCGGGCGTGTGGACGCGGCGTAGCCCACGTCGGTGTTGTTGGTGCTCCTCGGCATTTTCTCTTTTTTTGTTGTTGTTATTATGATTTGATTCTTGCACGAGTGGCGTGGCACCAAGGCACTGCACCGGCACTGCAGCGACACCGCGGAGGTTCAGAAGGCCCACACAAAAAAAGAAAAGAAGGAGGGCTCTTCGTTCAGTACTACTCGTACTAATCGCCAGCCTTGTTAAAACAGAGAAAGTAAGCAGCAAAAACAAACAAAAAAACAAGAAGACGGACTCCGCAATAAAAGCAGCAGCGACAATAGTAATACTGCTAACACGACAGAGCGAGCGTTGTATCTCAACACGACGCTTTCCGGCGAAGGAAGCCAGCCAGACTCGAAAACCTTGAAGAGAAAGAAAGAAGGTGCACTGTGTTACACACAACGCGCGGCAGAAAAAAAATGAATGAAAAAAAACACACAGAATAATAATAAATAAATATATAAAAGGAGAGAGATATATATTTAAGCGATCGGCAAAAAGGGGGGGAGAATCAAGTCACTTAAGTAAAACGATGCAGGTTTGCGGTACTCTTTCTCCGCGAATGTACTTTGGGGGGAGGGCAGTGATGGAGTGAGGGAGAGAAACAATGTTGATGTTTGACGGTGAGCGGGGCACGTGCGCACGCGAGGTGAGGAATTTGAACGGACACCACGTTGAAGTTGTCGTGGAAATGCATAAAACGATGTATAGTAATAATAAGAATAAAGAAACGTTTTTTGAGAGAGGAAGGAAGACGAGAAATAGGGGCATTTAAGGAAAAGAAGAAGAAATGTGCACATCGAAGTCGGAGAGGTATTCAAACGCGCCTACGAGAACTCGATGTTGGGGGAGCACACACGCATGCACGCACGCTTCTGGTCTTCTCTATTTCTCCTTTTATTTCCTCTTCATCGCCACGCGCACAGGGAAGCCGTATGAGACAGTTTGTAGGGTATGAAAGACAGAAATATATAAGCATTTGTACGGAAGCCTTAGGTAATAATAATAGTAACAGTAATAATTGAGTGACCGTGTTGAGTCGCAGTCAGATCGGGGCGCAATGTCGAAGGCTGACGCACCAACAAAGTCATTACAAAAAGTCTTTTCTTCTTTTCTTTCTGTGTGTACGTGTTTCCGGTGGGGCATTTTCGGGAAGGCATGACGTCCAGTAAACTGCGCTTTTTGGGGTGGATTTGCTTTTCTCTTTATTATCGTTTTCCTGTTTGTTTGCTCGATGTTGACACACACACTCTGACACACACACACACACACACACACACACACACACACTAACACACATGGGTTGCGTTACGCGACGCCATTCGTTCGTCCTCTTTCTCGGAGAGGAAAAGCCTCTCGGGCACGTGAGTCGCCTGGGAGGATGACGGACATCTTCTTCCATCTTGTAAGCAAGTTTTAAGGTGGTAGACAAGAGTGTGGGTGGGTGTGCGTGTGTGTGAGACGCCTCATTTGCAGACACTGAAACAGAAAAAGAGAGATGGGGAAAATAACAACACGCGACGAACGCGTCAAAAGACTTCATTATGAAAATATATAAAAAGAAAAAAGAAAAGAATAGGAAGACGTCTCGACCGTGCTTAGAATTGAGTTACATGCAATCGAACTTCTTCCATACACACACGTACCTCTCCTTTCTCAAATACAAATGTAAAGAAAACAAAAAAAAAACACGCACGTCTGTCGATTCTTCGCTGCCTAGACCTCTTTTTTTTCCGCTTTCCGCGCATACCTTTGACCAAGTTTGGCTCCCTCCCCGCCTTTTCTCATTAAGTTATTGTCTTTTTGTGTAACGCCTTCGTTTTTTTATTAGGGCTTGCCTATCCCTTCTGTTTTTTGTTGTCGTTGTTGTTTTTGTCCGCTTCTGCTCGTTAAAGTCTATGGGTTACCCTTTTTATTTAATTAAGCTGTTCTCGCGCACCGTTGCCTGCGCCCCACACCCACACCCACACACATACCCATACACATACACGTACACGCGAGCACACACACGCGTGTACATACCCAAAATGGCGTGGACAGCGAAGAAATAATAACAATAATCTTTGGCAGCAACAACAGGAAACGCAAAAGAACATAAAAAAGAGCTACGCGAAAGAGGGGGAGTAGCGAAACAAACAAATCAAAGAACTATGCGAGGGCGGCATGGAAGGCCTCCGTCACCGGAGACAACAAAGAGAATTAAGGAGAGAAGAGGAGAGAGGAGGAGGGGGCAAAGAGAGCCAACACGAGCGCCAAAACAAAAAAAACCGCGAGAGGTCCCGGCAGATCATCACAGCGTGCATTATTGAAGTAGAGAAGAGACCCCCCCCCCCCCGATACCCAAATATGCACGCCTGCTCAGCACTCAAGCAGAAATAATAATAAGAAAGCACACGTGTCCCTCGCCCGGGAGGGAGCTGAAACAAAGGAAGAAAAAAAGGTTTTTCTTTAAAGGCTATTCGGACATACATTTTTCTTTGCTCCTCTGCGGGCCAACGGACGTAATACAAAGGACTAAAGGAAGACGGTCCTGCTTGACCTTTTTTTTTCCATCCAGCCGTTCTTTCTTTTTGCGGATGCGCGGGTGTGAAGGAGCCACGAAGCGCAAGACGCGTGCGTTGACGCTGTGGCACGAAGAAGTACGAAAAGAACGAAGAGAGAAAGCGAGAGGAGGAGGAGGGGAAAAACACGGGGAGGCAGTCCCCACCCACCCACCCCTCCCCTTCCCCCGCTGGAACCAAGAGACGAGCTTACTGGGCAGCAGAGGCCTCGTACTTGGCCAGCTTCGCCTTGGCCGCCTCCAGCTCCGCCTGCAGCGTCTCGTAGGTTGGGCGCGTCACCTCCCCCTGCGCGAAGCCTTTCTCAATCATCCAGTTGTCATCGGCGAACTTCGCCATGTAGTTGCGGATGCCATCCGGCAGAAGGACGACGCAGCGCTGGTCGGGCCTGAGGTCTTTGGCGGCCTCCAGCACGCCAGCCAACGCCGACCCACTGCTACCGCCCACCAAGAGGCCCTCCTCGCGGTGCAGCTCACGGGCCAGGTCGAAACTCTCCTGATCACGGGTCTTGACCCAGCGGTCAACGTACTGGCGCTCGCACACGTCCGGCACGAAGTCGTAGCCGATGCCCTCCACCTGGTAGGAGATGGCCTCACCCGGGTGCTCGGGGTCGGCGATGATGCTGCCGACGGGGTCCACGCCGACGATAATAATGTTCGGCAGCAGCTCCTTCAGCTTCTTCGCGATGCCGCTGATCGTGCCGCCGGTGCCGGCGGTGGCGACGAGCATGTCGATCTTACCGTCGCACTGGTCGTAGATCTCCTGCCCGGTGAACTCGTAGTGCGCGAGCGGGTTGCTGGGGTTGGTGTACTGGTCCAGCAGCACGTATCCCTTCTCATCGCGCAGGCGGCGCGCAACGCCGATAAGGCTGTCTGGGTGGTCGTGCGGCAGCGCCGTCTCCGTCCGGATCACCTCCGCCCCGAGCGCCTGCAGCGTCGTTTCCTTCTCGTGCGACATCTTCTTGGGCATCGTGATGATCATGTGGTAGCCACGCACTGCCGCGGCGAGGGAGAGGCCGATGCCGGTGTTGCCGCTGGTCGCCTCAACGATAACGGAGCCGGGGTGCAGGCGGCCCGTCTTTTCGGCATCAAGCACCATCTGCCTACCGATGCGGTCCTTCACGCTGCCGCCGGGGTTGAAGAACTCGCACTTGGCGACCACCTCGCACGCGACGCCGTGCGCCTGCGGGACGCGGTTGAGACGGATGCATGGGGTGTTGCCGATGGTATCGAGCACGTTGTTGAGAACGTGGGCGTTGGGGTTTTCAGACGGCATTATGATTAAGTTGCCGACACTCTTTTTTCTCTCTCTTCTATTTGTTGTTGTTGTAAGTTTGCTCGCTGTGACGGTCTACTAGTGAATCGATGAAATACGCGGACAACGACTCCTCGCGTGTGTGTGTGTGTGTGCGTGTGTGAATGTGTGACTTTGAGGGGATGTACGCGTGTGAACTGCAGTAGCTTGATCAAAGAACGGAGGTGACACAAGGAAGGCGGTGATGCGTGCGGCGCGTACGCAAGACGCAAGAAGATCCCAAACAAAAAAAAAACACGAGTTCCACTAAAAGCGACGCTGAGGTGCATAAATATCTTCTTCTCTCCTGCCATCGAGAGATCGAACCCCCGAGGGGGGAGGGTGTCACTGCACGTCTACACATGGATCCACAGCCCGCTCTTATGTCGATGGCACGCAGCAAAAGGAATCGAATATGTTCTGGTTTCACCATTCCCCCTTCCACCTTAAAAGGCAGTCATCAGAGGTACATACGTGCTTCTGTTAGCCATCATCCGAGTGAATTTGCTATCTTGAAATCAAAGAACACACGTCAGCATCAGGGGGGGAGGGGGCATCAACAGGCCAAAATGGAAAAAAATAAGAATAGAAATAAAGAAGAGTTCCAACGGGTGTCGCCACATACAAAGAGAGAGGAGAAGTAAATAAAAAGAAACCCCTTATACACCAGCAAATCGGGTCTGCACGCCGCGTGGAGAGTCGTTCCACACCGCGGGCGATGCACTGGGATGCAACTCGGACAGGTGTATGCGTGCGCGGCGTCTGAGACGAGGAAGGGAAGAGAAAAGGGAGGAGGATGTCTTCCGCGCTGAACCGAAGCAGACGTGCATCGTACCCTTGCTGTTGCGGATGCGTGGTTGGGGGGGGGGGGGAGAAAGAGAGGGAAAAAGAAAGAGGCTTCAACTGGAAAAGAACAAACGTGAGCAAGGCGTAGATATTTACATGTGTGTGTGTGTATATACATACGTGACCATGACACTTGAAGAGGGCAGAAACACACCGAAAAGGGAGGAAAATAATAGTAAAAAAGAAGATCACCGCGCGTCACGGTGCATCAATACAGGATGCCATAAAAACAGCGGGTCCGCGGCACATCTCCGTGATCGCTGCAGACAAACAAAAACAAAGACATAAACAGACAAAGGGAAAGGTGCTTCCAACACACGCGTTTCATTCCCCGCCTGTCTCCCCATAGCAGGTCGACCTCATATCATACTTTTCTCTTCTTCCTTCTCTTGTGAGAAAAAAGAAAGGAGGGGAGGTTAAACTATTTAAAAAAAAAACACAAAAGAAAGAGGCAACAGTAAAGAACACCTCTACTGAGGATGCTGCATCCGGTTGTAGTCCACCGCTCGTGACAGCAAGTCCTTGTACTTCTCCTCCTTTTCATCCTTGCTCGTGAGGTCCTCCTTCTGGTTCGCCAACAAGGCACGATAGCGCTCCTTACTGTCGACGTACTTTCTGCCTGACGAGCTGCGGCAGAGCTGCTGCACCGCCGACTGCCTGGCATCCGCGTCGTGGGGAAGCGTGATCTTCATCACCTGAATCCCAGAGCCGCCGCTCGTACCGGGGCGCGGGCTGGTGGAAGCGTTGCTGCCGGTGCCCATTGGCGTGCTGAACGTGGCAGGCAGACCCACTCCTCTGGCATCGCTGCCACCAGATTCCTCGGACGACGGAACGACCAGAACGGGGTGCGAGACGTACACCGGTGCTGCGACGGTCGCAGGGGCGTTGACGGCGCGGAGTGGCATAGAGAAGGCAGAGGAGGTGGTGGTCGGGCGAAGGGCAGACGACGGCGGCTTCGTCGGTGTGGTCGTCGTCGTGAGGCTGGCACGTGCGGTGTGCGCCGCTTGCATGAGTTTGGCGTGCTGCTCCATGCCGCGGCGACTCGCGTTCGCCAGCTGCTGCTGCTCCAACAGCATCTCTCGCAGCGACGGCCGGCTGGGAGTCGACGGAGATGATCCACTGCCTACGGAAGCCGTCGCGGCGTTGTTGGCTGTCGGTGCGGTGGAATACGGAAAAGTAGCGGGCGACGTTGGCGGCAGCGACGGAAAAGGCGCTGGAGTCGATCCGCTCGACGTGGTCGCCGCCTTACCGAGCGCCGGGCTGACAAGACGGCGTTGCGGCATGCCGGCTGGGTCGGCTTCGCTGCCTCCGACGGCAGCTCCATCAGCGCCGCGCAACGCCTCCGTCGTCTGGGACAGCCGCGATTGGCGCTGCAGTTGCAGCGCCCGACGTGTGTTTTCACGGCTCTGCTCTGTCCACTGGAGCGAGGGCAGCGGCGGGGAGGAGGCATCCGAAGGCGGTGTTGCTGCTGCCACTGCGGGAGTGGGATTCGAAGCGGCAACAGGAGTGGGTGTGGACGCAGCGGCGCTGACCGGTGCCTCCGGCGGGGTCGGGAGACGTGTGTGCTGCTGCTGCTGCTGTGCAGACTGCACCAGGATGCTTGGGTGCTGACAAGCCTGCTCCTCCGCGGCCGTGCCGACGAGCGGCTTAAAAACAGGCGAGGGGGGATCGCGGTCGTCGGCCATCAGCGAGACGTTGCTGGGGCGGGAGTGGTGGCTGGCGGGGGCGGCGGCGCCGGTGCTGGAGGCGGCGCTTCCCGTCCCGCCCTTCACACGCGGCGGCGTCAGCAATTGGGCGGCGACGTCTACACCTCCACCGCCAGTATTCGTATTGCTGGTGTGGTTGACGTTGCCCGCAGAGGCGGTGGTATTGCTGCTGCTGCCGCCGCCGTTACCAACGCCGCCCTCCAACAGACGACTGCCGTCCTTGTTCAGGATGCTGAAGACGGGCGTGCGACCCGGTTTAGCGGACTTCTTCACCGCCACCAGCGAAGGCAGCGAGCCGGCCGGCGGAACCGTCACGGTGACGGTGGTGGTGTTGCCGCCGCCGTTGCCAGTGCTGCCCGCGCTGCCGGTCGACGAGCCCCCGCCACCGGAGGCCCCCGCTACTTTGCTGAGCGGCGAGGCCACCAGCACAACGCTGCGTCGCGCCGGCACCGGCGGACGCGGCTGCGGGAGGGAATCGATGTTGTTGCTCAACACGAGGCTGACCGTGCTGGTGCTGCTGCCTCCTCCGCCACTGCCGGCTGCAGCTCCCGCCCCACCGCCGTTCTTCAGGCTGGGCGGCGGCTGGGGACCAGAGGACCGGTGGGCCGGCCCGGAAGGGGTGGGCGATGTAGCACCTGGTGGGAGCGGAGTGGGAAAGAGGGGAAGCCCGTTCGACGGAGACCACTGAGAGGTGGCGGATGAGGCGGACTGGCGCTTACGGCGGTCATCGAGGATGGCGCTGCGGCCCACAAAGGTCTGCAGCGGCTCTTTCGACTTGGTCTTGCCGTCGACAGCGGCCACCTCCTGCGCCACCTCGTGCGACAGCCGGCGCAGGTCCGCTAACTCATTCGCCAAGTCAGCAGCGCGGCGTGGACCGGGTGATGACGTCTCCTCTCCCTTGTCCGCCTGGCCGGCGACTTGACTCGGCCGGTCGGTGCGGTCTGTCGTCATGGGCGTCGCCGGCGACTCCGTGGACTTCAACGAGTACTGCAGCGGCGACATCAGCGAGGGCGTTCCCCCGTCCTCTTTCACGGTGGGGATGGCGATGGGGTCGGTGCCAGGTGGCGGTCGCGACGTCTGATCCAACCGATGCGCGCTGTGCTCGAACGAGGTCGCGGTGGTGGGCGTGGACACCAAGATGGATAACGGCTGATGGGGTGGGGACTTCCGGGATGCCTCGCCCGCCTGCGGGGGTGCGGGGTACAGCGCGTGTGGGAGTGCTGGCTCGGTAGAGGCGCTGCGCGCACGCGGTGGTGGTCGGTGATGCTCCGGCAGCGTTGGCGGCGCCGCCGCGGGCGTGACTCGCATGTCCACCAGTGTTGTCACAGCAGCGCCGGCGTGTCCCTCCAAGCCGCTGCAGGGGTTCGTGTTCCTCGCGCGTGGGCTGTTATTTGCCGAGCTGCCGTGTCCTCCGGCCGCCGTGCCGGTGGCGGGGACAAGAGAGGGGCCGTTGGGGAGCTCCAAGACGAATCGTGCGTCACTCACGTGGTGCTCCTCCAACACGCGCTGAATGGCAGAGACGATATCGGACACGTTCTCCGTAGTGGGCGGCAGCGTCCCTTCCGCGTTTGCGCTGGGAGCTGACATAATTTTTTGGTTGGGTTTGTTTGTTTGCTTGTTGGTTTGCGCGAGAGTGAAAACTTCCAATAATAATAAAAAGATCGTCTACATATAGTAAGCCGTGCTACTTTTTTTTGGAGGCAGTGGAAGTGGGGTGAGGAGGTAGAGAAAACAGAAGAAATCCGAGAAGGTTCGCGTGTCACTGCGTTGACAACTCTCCACAACTGTATCTCGTAATATGCGTTTGTACGTGGGTGTGTGAAGTATGTATGTATATTGAAAGATGTAGCAAGCAGTCGTTTGGATGTTCAAGTCCAGGAACATTAAAAAATAAAAGGTAAAAGAGAAGGAGTAAAACTCAAGAAAGAGAAGGAAAGTACAGCGAAAGCAATGCCGTGTCGGACTACTTTGCAGTACCATTCGCCGCCTTTGGTTCTTCAGGATATAAGCAAAGGCAGGCGCTGCAACGCTGCTGTGCTTTTTCCTAAGAAATCACCACTTTACGAGCGCAGGCAGCTTGGCTGATACCGCATTAGCTGTGCGTGTGTGTGTGTGTGTGAGTGTTTTTGGGGGCGTGCTTCGTTGACACCTCTCTCTCTCTCCACGTCCTCCACGAGTAACGCCTAACGCGTTCCTCATAAGGCGCCGAAGCAGAAAAAAAGAATCCATTTCTTGCAGAGAAGCCTACGCCAAACTCTGTTTTCTTTGTTTCCGTTTTTCAGCACCCTGCACTTCATGGAAACTGTCGATGTTTCCCTTCATGTATGTACCGATAAAAGGTTGGCTTTATCATCAGACGAGCACGAGTACTGCCCTACACCACAGTCAACAGAGAGAGGAGCGACACACCCACACCCACATACGCACATGCATGTGTGGAGGCCCAGAGATGAAAAACCGATATATATATATAGTAACTGCAGGTAAAACTAGACTAACATGCATAGCCCGAACTAAGCGGGTAGAAAGGTCTTTGATAGAAGACTATACGTTCACACAGACGGACGTTTCACACGAGAGCTAGAGAAGAGAGAGAAGAGAGAAAAGGGATACGCAACGCCGACGAGCAACTTGGCACCGTGTTTTGTCCTGTCTTTTCCCTTTCCACCGGCACCGCGTCTTCCCTCTTACTTCTTCGGCGCTGCATCGGCCTTCTTCTCCTCGGGCTTCGCATCAAGGTCACGGCAGTACGGTCCTGGCGGCTCCTTGAAGAAGATGGACGTGCGGCCACCCGCCGGCTCCGCGTACCGGCGGTCGGTCCGCTGCGTCCCAACCTTAAACGGCTTCCCCGCCCGCAGGTCCTCAATCAACGTCTTGATGCTGTCCCACGTGAGGTCCTCCACGTAGTCGTACGAGAAGTGCGGCGGGTTGCTGTAGTCACTCACCACCAACATCGGCGCGTTCGCACACGCGCCGAGGCACTCCATCTCGCCCACGGTGATGAGGCCGTCGCTCGTCGTGCCGTGCATGCGTACATTCAAGTATCGCATCGCGCGCTCCGTCAACTCGTCTGCGCCGCACAGCATGCACGGCGTGGTGCGGCAGAACTGGATGTGATACTTGCCCACGGGATGGCGGTTGAACATGGAGTAGAAGGTGACAGTCTCAAACACGTGCATCGGCGGCACCTCGCAGATCTTTGCGATCTTGTACATGGCGGTGACCGGGATGTACCCGCCCTGCTGCTGCTGGGCGAGGTGCAGCAGCGGAATCGTTGCCGAGATGCGCTTGCCGCGCGGGAACTTCGGGAGAATTTCGTTGTGGATCTTTTCGTAGCTCGTCGTCGTGAAGTCCCACGGGATGCGAGTGTTGTCGGTGTCGGTGTTCACGTGGCGCATCTCACCGTGCACGCGACGCACGCTCGTGCGCAGCGGCGACGACGACGACGGCAGCGACGGCAGCGGCAGCAGCGGGCCGGTCCACCACGCAGCCACGGCAGCAGAGCCCGTTGCCGCTGCGGCGGTGCGGCGCAACGCCACAGACGAAAGCTGGGCACGACGCAACATCTGCCAAGAAGAAAAAGAAAGGTTTTTTCTCTTTCGAAAAAGAGCGGCACACACACCGTCCTAACACACGATAGCCCCAAGTAGTGCTGCGTGGATGACGACTACCACAGCAGCCGAAAGAGGAGAAGAAGAAAAGAAAATTACAGCAGTTGAAGGCGACGGTCACGGTAGGGATTGTTTCGGGAAGGAGGGGGGGGGGACAAAGCTGTAACTGATCGTGCTTTCCGCTTTCTAACAGCCACGTTACGATACGCACGCGCGTGACTGTCAAAAACACCACAGTACGTGAACGCCTAAGGTAAGAAGAAGAAATTTTTTTGTTTCTCGTTCTTTGGTCGGCCTTGCCGTTTGCTACCCTTGTCCGTAAGTGGTGCGCAGGGAGGCACGTGGCTAAGGAGAAAAACAAAAAGAAGAGGACGGAGAAGAACAAACGGGGCGGGCTCGCGGAGGGAGCGGGGAACGGAAACGCGGAGCTGAACGAGCTGTGAAAATAAGAGGTGGTGCACGATGCACGTAGTCGCTTCTTGTTGTTGTCGTTTGTGCCTATTTGTTTTTACTTTTTTGAGATTCCTAAATGAATACTAAAACTGCCACAAAGCAGGAGCGAAAGAAGGAGGGGAAAACAAAAAAAAGCAGGTATTTGATAAAAACAATGTGAATGCGGGTGGCCCAACTGAAGACGGAAGAGCGGCGCTTGTTTTCTGCTGGTCCAAGGGAAAGTTAAAAAAATGCTGTCTAAAATGCACGCTAAGTGATGCGGATGCATGTGCGTGAGGGGGGGAGGGAGGGGGGGGGGGAGAAGAGGGAAGAGAGAAGAGGCAACGCAGAGCAAGCGCGTCAGAGTTGATGGGGTAAATACCAACGAGCAAGAAGTGCCCTGCTACACTGTCCGACATAAGCACATACATGAACTTGCCCAGTGATGACCTGCGAAGGAGACCACTCAGAAGAAGAAAGACAACAGCAAGCACCCGAATTTCACGGGAAAAAATGGCTTCTTCCTTGGGCAGTCGACTCATCTTGTTCACCGGCTCAAAAAAAAAAGCTACGGCAAATACGTGTGCAGCCTCGTCCTTTCCCCTCAGCCGTTTTTTTTCCTTTGGCAACAAGGGGAAAAACAAAAAGGCATGTTCTGTTTACCCGTTGCGTGTGTCCTCTCGCGTACATCGGTGGCGTACACCACGTGCTCGACGACAGGCACGCACAGGGGGGGGGGGGTGAAACTGCATGATCATGCCTTTTCATTTGGCTTTGTTTTTTTGCCGCGTTGCTCGTTCGTGCAGGACACACATCTCTCAGCGTGCAAATTTGTTTGGCTCGTATGTTTCTTTCCTTTTCTTTTTTATTCTATATCGCTCTACACGTTGTTCTTGTGACTGTTCTCAGAAAGGAGGCAACGCAAAAACGGCGATGACGCGACTCCGTTGGAGACGGGAGGGGGAACAAAGAGCCTCCCGGCAGCACAAAACATCCAATGAAAACAACTTTAAAAAAAAAAGAAGAAACAAAGAAAAGGAGAGAGATGGAAGGCAAAATACAACTCTAAAATTGAGGGAAAAGAGGAGAAGGAGTGGCGGTGGTGGTGGGAAAATGAAAAGGGTAGGAGAGAAAAACTTAAAGCCCTTAACAAAGACCGAACTTTCTGGGACAGCCGTCGGCACCGCCGCTTGGCAATCGCCCACCTGTTCGAGAAGTTCACGTCCGTCCTGTTTCGTGTGTACTTCTGCGAGCCCTCGCTGATCCTCCCGCTGAGCCTCAAACTTCTCTATATAGGAGGAAAGGGTAAAACAAACGCATAAATAGATAAAGCAAGAAAAATCAACGAGGAACAGGAAGTAAAAGAAGAAGATGGGACGCAAAACAAGAAAAAAACACACACACAGAGAGACGCGCAGAATTTCTATGCGTTCCTTTTCAGTCGATGAAAGGGAAAAAGAAAGTGCTTGGAAGTCTAAAAGCCACAATGAAAACATATATCTGTGCGTGTGTGTGTGTGTGTGTGTGTGCGAGAGCAAGGAGGAGCGGACACGCACGCATGACGCCCCGTCGCATCTCCCTCTTCTCCCTTTCACAGGTGAATCGGGGGGGGATGCGATCTTTTTTGTTTGTTTGCCTTCTGCTTTTTGCCTCGCGATGAAGGACTGGGCCTTTCGTCGCCCTTCTCCTCCTCCTCGTTCCTTCTGGCCGAATACACGGGCCCACCTCTGCAGCGACGACGTCCTCGCCGACATCTCTGGCGGGTTTTTGAGGCTCCTGCCTATTTTCTGTTTTTTCTTTGTTGCGTGCGTGCGCGTTGGTGTGTGCGTGTGTGCGGGTGTGTGGACTTCTCTCCTTACGCAGCTCGCTTGGCGCTCTTCTTCTTTGGCTTCTTCTCCAGCGCCTTGTGCAGATTGGGCACGACACCGCCGCGAGAGATGGTGGCCTTCACTACCTGATTCAGCTCCTCGTCTCCGCGAATCGCCAGGAGCAGGTGACGCGGCTTGATACGCTCCGTCTTCTGCCCCTTGGCGGCCGCCCCGGAGAGCTCAATCACCTCCGTCGTCAAGTACTCCAGCAGCGCCGCGCAGTAGATGGCCGCCGACGCACCACAGCGCTGCTTGCGGAAGAGCCCTTCCTTTAAGCGGGAGTGGATGCGCCCCACCGGGAAGTTCAACTCCGCGCGGGCGGCACGAGACATGCGATCACGCCTACCCGCCTTGCCGCCCGTCTTTCCACCGCGCTTGCCCTTGCCTTTTCCCTTGCCTTTGCCCTTGCCGCCGAGCTTGCCGCCGGAGACGACGCTGGTTTGATCGGCCGTGGCAGAGCCGGGCCCCATCATTGGCGGCTGCGGCGGCACCGGAGGCACGCCGGAGGGTTCCTCGCCTGTGTAGGACATTGCTTATTGTGTGAGTGAATGAGCGTGTGTGGGTGTGAGAGAGAGTGTGAGAGAGTGTGAGAGAGTGTGAGAGAGAGAACAAGAGAAGGATCACACGTAGGTACGTTTGTGAATCTGAATCTGTATGTGTATGTGTATGAGTATGAGTGGGTGTATAAGTGGGTGTGTGCAGAGGAGCTTGGAAAAAGACAGGAGTAGAAAAATAGTTAACGTCGGACGGTAGAAGCCGCGTGGGGTAAAAGTTGTATGGGCCGACCGAAGAAGAAAAAGTAAGAAGAAGGGAGGGAGGGAGGGGGCCTGGAAGCAGCAGAGAAGAAGAAGGAGGCGGCGGCGGCGCGGAAAGCTCGCGATGCGTGCTTCTTCGTATTGCTGTCCTTCTTTTCGTCGTCGCAGCTTTTTGGTACAAAAACGCCGCAGCGCTCTCTTCTGTCTGGCCTCAGCCCCCACCCCTCCGCCGTACCCCTTCGCCTATCTCGCCCAACGCATCAAAGGAGCCATTGCACGGGAAAAGGAAAAAGCAGAATACAAAGGAGGGGCCGACGTCCCCTCAAGACGTGCAGCGACGAGGGAATTACTTTTTTTTTTTGACAAGACAAGAGCGATCGGCGACGTGGGCTTCTTCCTTCGCTGCTATTCGAACTTAAAAGTATTATCGCTTCGCTTCTCAACGTGAGGGAGCAAACACAAGAAAGATAGTAAAGGAAAGAAGCTATTCTCCTCCGTTCTCTCATCGCAGCGCACCCACCACAACGGCGTCGTCGGGTCCACTGTGGCCCACGGGCCGCGATCTCAGCAAGGTCGGGCACGCTTACGAGACGCATGCCGCGCGTGACACGGCCCACACCACACCTCCACCGCCGGCGGCTCTTTCCCGGCCTCCCCGCGCGGCGCGTCGCACACACACGCCCCGTCGGCCGTGCGCAATACGTTGTCCGCCTCCTCGAGACCGAAAACGATGCACGCCGCGGCGCCGGCGATGAGGGCGCACGGGTAGTGGAACTGCAGCCCACAGCTGCTCTCCCCTCTCGCCGTGCCCGCGCAGGTCCGCAGGCCAACGCCAAACAACTCGCCCCACGACGACGGCGATGACGCCGGCCTCGCCAGCTTCGGTGTCGCAGCGCACAAGGCGCAGTGTGGTAGCGCCGCTGCGTCGCGCACCGATGCCGCCGGCCCTTCTACCTCGCCCTCTGAGTCCGCCGGCGGAGGGTGGTGATGTCGGTGCCAGAGTGTTGCGGCCAGCAGCTGCCAACGTGCCACGCGACCCGACGTGTGCGAGGCGTACAATTCAAACGGGTCCTGCAGCGGCACCGTCAGCTGGAGCACGGTGGTCGTCGTGGGCACCGCCGCCGCCGCATCCTCGACTGCAAGAGCCGTGTCGGTGTAGACGTCGAGCAGTCCAGCCCAGGCGAGACAGTTGTGGTGGGCAACGGCGCGCAATGTCGTGGGAGTCGCGCGGCGCCGTGGTGGACCCACATCAGAAGCGTCGGCATCGCTGTGCACCGACTCTGCTGCCCACGGCGTACCCTCCGTTGACGTGTAGACTGCGGCGCTGGACGGTGCCGATGCGGACGGGGTTGCCCGCGTGTCGACGGCGCAGCGCACGCCCCACAGCGGCCCCAGCAGCAGCGACACGCCGTCTTCGGTCTGTGCCGCCAACTCTGCCGGATCGCACTGCGCAAAGGGGGAGTGCAGGAGGCTATGCAGGCGACGGCGCACAACGCTGCGCTGCACCACGTCCAGACCGCAGAGAACGCAGCGGCCGGAGCGATGCAGTCGCGTTGCCTCAGTCGGATGTAAAGATTCCGCTACGGTTGTTTCCGCCGATGTTGTTGACGATGGAGGCGTAGTCGCGGTAGCAGTGAAGCGATCGCCTTGAGTTGAACTTCGACGTGTCACGTGCGCCTTGTCTGGCACGCCGCTATCTCCCTCGTGATCACGGCTATTCGTCTTTGCCTCCTTTCTCTGTTGTTGGTGCGCACGAGCAGCACTGTGCAGGCGCACGGCGGGTGGGATCAGCGAACAGTGCACAACGCCCTGACCGCGCTTCCACAGCCGCCACTGTGATGGCGGTCCAGCAGACGCACCGGCCGGCTGCCGTGCTGTTTCCGTCTGCGGACGACACGGCTCCGCACGATTTTGATTTCCCTCCTCGGCGTCTTTGGCGATGGTGGCGGCAGCGGTGAGGCGAGGCGTTGACTCGAGCTGCTGCTCGTCTTCAGCGAAGCGTGACTGCAGCAGGGCCAGCGTTGGGCTGAGCGGGGAGGTCGTCGTCGTCTCCGTGACGGCAAAGGGCGCGGCTGCAGATAGCTGAGGAATATTTGCCTTGCCTTTATTTTCACGCTGTTCCACTCTTCCTATTTCCTCCCTCAGTGGAGGGTGTGTCCAAGCAGATGCGAAGCAAGGGTCCAGGTTGGCTGGTGAGTCGACGGAGGGGGCGGGGGAAGGTCCCTCCGGCGATTCACTGCCCATGCGTTGGGTTTCGCATGCGGAGCTGCGCAGCAGCGCGTCTGGATAGTCGGCAGTAGCGCTCCGTTGCAGCCCCGCTGGCGGTAGAGAGGGAGGCGATGCCAACGCCGTGCAGACACGCTGCTGTTGACGTAGAGTTGCATCGCCATCTACGTGCGGACACGTTCCTGTACACCTAATAAAGCGATTCGGCGCGTCTCTGGCGCTGTTCGCACCTGCTTTGGCAGAGTTCGGTGGCGGTGGCGCACGCAGCCCCACCTCGCGTGCGAGGATGCAGAACAGAGACAGCTGCGGCAGCGGGAGAAGGTGGCGTAAGTTGGACACCGGTTCGTTGCACAGTGGGCAGCGCGGTCGTGCGGCGATGCAGCGCACCGCACACACGCGGCACAGCACATGGCCACAGTGAAAGCTGACCGGATCTTTGAAGACGTCGAGGCACACAGGACACATGCAGCTCGCCTGTGTGGCCTTCAGAAGAGGAAGTGCGTCCGTCATTTGAGCTGCTTCTCTTTCTACGTTTTTTCTCTTCTTTCCCCCTTCGTCGGTTTGCTCGACGTGGTGAAGTACCTATGTGTGTTTTGTGCAGCAATAAAAGCTGTTCTGAGTTTCTATGTGTGAATGACGGAGAAGTGAAGAAAAGCAGCGTTGTGGTGCAGCAGCAGCGCGTAAGTTTGGGTGTTGAACTACGCGGTGGTGGATACAAGAAACACGAATCCTCCGCACGTTGCGTGCTCCACTGAGTGGGCCATCTACCGTGTGCCGTCTAGTCGTTGACTTCTATAGCAGATACGTTCTTACTGCTTCGTTGTTTGGTGTTTTGAGCTAAGGATACTCCGCGTCGATGACAATGATGAAGGACTTCCAAGATCGCAGTATGCATCCCCTACGCACTCACCTTCAGCAGGAGGTTTACGGCCCGCGTTTTTGAGATCCACCGCTGTTGAACCGGCGCGGCTGTAGCAGGAAAGAGTAATAAAAAAACTAATATATATATATAGGGGCGCCCGCCAGAACGTTGAGACGGTGCGGAGATGCAGCGACAAAGGGAATTCGAGCACCATTATTTAAAACAGCGAGGCAAACAGACGAGCGTCAACATTTGTGCGCCAAAGCGCGAAACCAAAAAACACGAGGGTGAGAGATGAGTATTATTTAGCCTCTGGTGTGCGCGTCATTATCAGCTGCACCGTGCCTTCGCAGAACTCACGCCTGCGGAACGTGGTTTCACCTTCCTCCTCTTTCCTTCTCACGGTGTACGCATTTTGATTTACAAGAGTTGCTTAAGAAGTATATATATATATATATATATATACTTTTATAATGATGCCTCTTTCCTTCGTTCGTTGTCGTCCCCGCAGCCGTGAGCGCAAAAATAAGCCGTGACAACACGAAGGAGCGATTGAGCAAAACAAAGGGAAAATGAAACACACACCAGAGCGCAGGAAAGTGAAAGGAAAGAGAGCGTGGGCCCCTCGTCGTGGCGCCTCCTCCACATACCCGCTTCCTCCTCCTCCTCCGCCCTCCACACCACCACCACCGTGTTGCGCCGCCCACAGTCCCATCACGCCTTCTTCGCCGCCAGACGTGCCCGACGTGCCGCACGCCGGCGCATCTTTTCCTTCTGCAGGTGCGCCTTAATCGCCGCCGCCATGGCCGAGAACGACCGCCGCAGCCGCCCCCACGCTGAATCCGCCACCGCAGTCGCAGCAGCAGCTGCAGAGGTAGTCGGCAAGCCCGTCGGCTCCACGAAACGCATCAGCACCACGTTGTTGCTGCGCAGCGACACGGTGCCGACGTAGCGCGGTCGCGGCAGGCGATCCTGCAGCTGCAGGTAGTGTGCCGTTGCTGACGTTGACAATGTTGACGTCGCCGCTGTCTCCGCAGCGGCGGCAGCGTCGTAGTAGGAGCTGCCGCGTAGGCTGCTCGCGATGAGTCGCGCCTCTTGCTGCTCCTCCTGCTCTCGTGCTGCCCGCTCGTAGTCGAAGGCGCGTGCACGTCGGACGAGGCTTTCGTGCAGGAGCACGTTGTAATGCGCATCGAGCAGGGCCAGTTTGCCGGAGTAAAGGTACCCCTGCTTCGTTTCCACCTCCACTTCCATTCCAGCGACGGCGGGCGAGGGACCGCTGGCGTCTGCGGGCGCCACAACCGCAGTGGCCTCGAGGTGGCCGTCGCTGGTGATGGTGTTGCCGGTCGGAAAAGTCACCGGCAGGCCGAGGGCTTGCATCAGGACGGCGGCAGGCGCCGGGACACCCTTCGAGCCCCGCTCAGCGGCAGGTGCAGTCGCACTTGCAGCATCGCCCTCCTGTCTCGATGTGGTGCGGGCAGTTTTCTTCTTTTCCTTCGTGTGTGCCGCGCTGGCGGAGCGCCTCCCCGCCGTCTTGGCCGTCTTGGCCGTCTTGGCCGGACGCGACCGAGGTGCTGAGGGCATACGTCCGCGTCGTTATTACGGCAATGGTGTTAGTTAAGATCTATGACGAGGTGCCGGTGCTGATGTTGCGGTCTCTAATTTAAAAAAAAAAACGAAAATGCTGGAGCGCAGTTTCGCTCAAATTTGAGGGAGGAGTCGATTGCACGTGTCGTGGAAGCCTTCCCCGTCAAAACAAGAAGACAATGAATGAATCGCTGAGCCTGCCAGCGTCACCAAGACAACACCAGCGCTTTCCTTTGCACGGCTGCAGAGCGAGGAAACCACAACAAAAAAAAAATGAAAGAAAAACAAGTGTGTCACTATCAGAGAGAAAAGAATGAGGGCGGAAAAAAAAGGAGGAAAGTGACGTCACACCGGCGATGCAACGCAAAGGGGAAAAGGGCCCCTTTGTTTCGTTCTTTACCTTCCCTTTTCCATAGTGTGTGAGTGCAGAGGACACACGAAATCACGACCGCACCAACATTCCTTTATTGCATTCACCACGACTTGTCTCTATATGTGTGTGTGTGTGTAGATGTTTGTTTTTGTTTGTTTGCGACTCCGCGTTTCCGTGAGACACGCGACGCCTCACTGTCTAATCTATTGAGTTACAAATATATATATATAAAGTGGGGTTTTGCTCCCTTTCCCTTTCCTCTTCCGCTGCCTCACTGGACGCTCTCCACATAGGCGTTTGTCGCCAAATCCAGGTAGCACTGCAGCACACTGTCGTAGATGTAATGGTTGGTGCCCCCCTGCGCATCGCCCGTCCTCACCGCACCCGGTGCGTCCCGCGGCGAAGGTGCCCTCATGTCTCTCCGACCGCCGTCGTCCGGCTGCAACGGGACACCCAATGGAACAGCAGAGGAAGCTGCAGCTGCAGTAGCAGAAGGTGCGGCAGCTCTCGCGTTCGTTGACTGTTTACCGCCCGAGCGTGCGGAGAGTCCCATCTGCGCAAACGGTGCCACCCCCGCGGCAGAGAGCCTGACTGCAGGAGGTGCCGCCCGTCTCGATGCGGCATCCATTTCCGCTGCAGCAGCAGCAGCAGCAGCTCCATCATCATCACCGTTGTTGCGCAGCGCAGTAGAGGGCCATGAAACGTGGCTGCGTCCTTCGCTGTTCCTCGTCCCCTCCACACCTCCGCTAGAGGGTGTCGTGAAGACTGGGTAGCGCGCGCGGCTGGCGGACAACACGGGCATTGGGTGGGGAAGCCACATGTGAAAGCTGCTGACGGTGCTGCAGCTCTGATGGCTCGGTGGTGCAGCGTCGGTTGGGTGAAGTGTCGGCGTCATCGCCGCATTCTGGGCCTTGTTCGTGGGCGCAGACCGGGGAGCCTTTAACACAGCTCCCCTGAGCGGTGTCTGCCTGGCTGACTCCTCCGTAGGCAGGTCGGACGCCGTCGGGGCCAGCGGAACGGGTGGGGGCTGCGCCGGTGACGGTGCCTCTCGCTGCACAGCCCACCTCTTCACCGGCGCTGCGGCCTTCGCATCCTTTCCGCCGTGCCCACCCGCCGATGCGGTCGTGTCGGGAGGGCCGGTCGGGCGAACCAGCCGGGGCCCCAGCGGTGTGCTCTCGCCAAGACGCACCTCATCCGAAGCTACGTCCCGGGTCGCCCTCTTCCCTGCCGCTGGTTGCGGTGGTCGCGGCGGTGTTTCTGGTGGTTCGACGGTGGCTGCGGGCCTGCGCCACACCACCGCTTTCGTGGCAGCGCGTGCCGGCGCAAGACCGGCCACCACCGTGTTGGAGGACATGGGTGGAGTTCGTGCCAGCACATGTGCCCGGTGAAGGGCTTCCTCACGTGGCAGTGCGCCCGCAGCTGCTGCTGCTGAAGAAATAATATGCGGGGGACCCGCAGCGGCGTTCTCTGAAGCCGTGGCGGTGGCGGTGGTAGTGGTGGTGGTGGTGGCTGCAGGAGCGATGGAGGTGGACCGGAAGGTCCATGACGTGACCGCACTGCCGGGACGAGGAGGGAGCGGGGCATTGTCGTCCTCCTCCTCTTCCGCGCGGCCGCCCTCCCTCCCTATCGCGGCGTCGTGCGCTGCTCTTCGAGAAGTGGGGCGAGATGGCGGAGCGGAAAAAAGCGGCAGCGCCAGCGGCACCTCGCCGGAGCTCCACAGCTCCAACACCGCCTTTGCGTCTCCAGCGGCCGCAGTAGAGACGGAAGCGGTGGCAGGAGGGAGAGGTGGCGCGTGGGTGCCGTCGTCGCCATCGCTTCGTGCTCCTGCATGGAGTGCTGTGGCGCTTCCCGCGTCGCCAGCAGCAGCAGCAGCGGCAGCGGCAGCGTCGTTGCCTTTCCACGCGTCTCCCATGATGGCGGCGAGGAGAGAGAGAGGAGTGGTCGTCCCGTGTGCTTTGGTGGATAGCGCTGGCATAGCTGTCGCCGCGCGACGCACACCTGCGCGTGGTTCTGCGGCCGCTGCGTGCTCCGCGACACCTTCACCGTCCGTCGTAGGATCTGCAGCAGGGGGAGGGAGAAGAGGAGCCGCAGGTGCTGCCGGTAATGGCGGCGGTAGGGCAAGAAGGGAAGAAGAGGAAGACGGCGCAGCAGTCGCCTTCGTCAGTGCGTTGCGGCTCAGAAGCCTCGCGGGGACGTCGAGGTCTGGTGCGGCACCTTGGTGTTTGGTCAGTACGGTGTGCAGGCGACGCACGCGTTCGTTCATCTCACGCATAAGTTCCACCGCAGCGGAAGTGCAGGAGAGGGCCGAGGAGGAAGTGGAGGCGGTGGTGGGCGCGGAGGCAACGGACGATGTTTCCATCGACGTGGCACCGCTGGCACCCGCAACGTTGTCGAAGGAGGACGATGGCCGTTGCGTCGTAGCGCGCGCAGGAGAAGGCGTCGAGGGAAAGGCTGTCCACTTCGCCGCGGCAGCGGCTTTGCGATCTGCAGGGGGCGTCGACACCTTCACGCTGGGGTGATGAAAAGCTGCAGACGTTTGAGAGGAAGAGGAGGGCACCACGGCTGCCGCGTCGAGGCCTCGCGCAGGAGTACCTTCCACTACCCATTCTTCGTCCTTTTCCTCTTCCTCCTCCCTTTCGTACTGCTGCGCGCGTTCACCTTCTCCCGTCGCTCCTCTATTTCCCTTATAAAGGTGGCGCTGCTCACGCGGGCTCTGTCGGGCTTGTGGTGTAAATCGTGGGGATGGAGAGACACCCCCTGGCAGCGTAGAACGGGGGGTAGAAACAACCACACCGCCTCCTGCGAATGCCTCTGCCTCGGAGGGGGACGGCGACGAGGAGGAGGACCGCCCTGAAAGTGCGTCGACTTCGGTAAAGCGGTTGGTGGGCGTGTTGGCGTACAAGTGAGATGAACGAGGTCGTGTTTGGACTTGGTGTTCCGACGGATACTGCTGCTGCTGCTGCTGCTGCTGGTGCTGCTGATGTTGATTCTGGTTTACCTGCAAAAGCTCTAAAGCTGTTGGGTGAGGTCGGCGAGGCTTTTCCTTCCGCTGCACTCTCGGTGAGGTGTGGTCGAGCGACGGCTGGGGTTCGCGGTGGCGCGACGTCCCTCGCCCCTCCGCCACCTTCGGTGCGTCCAACTGCGCAGACGGGGGTGTGGAAGAGCGTTGCGGCGCACCCGAGAAGGGCGGTACGGCGGCGGAGGGCGGATGGGATTTCGTAGAGTCTCTTCGTATGTGTGGCTGGCCGGACAGCGGATGCAGCTCTGGCTGTTCCGCGTGCTGTGCCGCCTTTGCAAGGTTCTCTTGGCCGATTTCCTCGGCCGTGGTCCCCAGCGGTGGCGGCGGCGGCGGCGGCGTACGCAGTACAACTTCTTCCCCGGTGCGAACAAACAACGTGAGAACCTCTCCCGCCTCCGCCGGCAGGCGCAGCGGCTCCGGCAGCGTCCACGTGGCCGGCGCCGCACCTGCGACGGGTCCGCCGCCGCCCACCGTCATCGACGCCTCTGCAAAGCTTTGCTGCCCAGCCGGGTGCAGCAGGTGGTCGACTCCGTGGTGCCGTGGCAGCGGCAGTCCGTGCCCGGCGACGATGCGGCGAACGTAAAGCCCACCGCTGCCACCACCACCGCCGACGCCACTCGCGGTTGCCCCGGCACCAATCCGCAGCTGATGGAGGCGGAAGGCTGCCGTCGCGGCAGCTTTCGAGGCCGTGAGCCCGCCCTGCAACCCGCACGCCTGCACAACGCTGTCCACGTCCACGTAGAGCTGCACCCACTGTGCGGTGCGCACGCACTGCAGCGGAATGCGGGTGTGATGGGCATGCCGCTGCACCTCGCGTACCGCGTTGGTGAAGCGCAGACGATAGCCGCCCCGTGCATTACTGCTGGTGCTGCCCGCGTTGGAGTTGCTGCGTGGGGACATCAGTGCGGTGCTCCTGCTATCGTGGTGGCGGCCACTGTTCCCGCTGCCACTGCCGTTCGTCGTCGTGCGTACAACCAGTTCGATGTGAACGCTTCCCGGGGGCGGAAGATACGGCGGCGACAGCGTCGAGGGCAGGGTACGCTGTCGCTCCGCCGCCGACAGCACCGGCGCGGCGGCACAAAACTGCACGACTAAGATGGTGTGCCCGACCACGCCGCCACCTGCCCCTGCTGACCCTCGAGTGACGACCGGCAGCCGCATGCAGCCGGAGAAGTCCACCTCCGTCCCAGGCGCAATGTGCAGCAGCTGTGAGCGGGTGTCGCGGTCGTAGACGCAGCGGACACCGTTGAGGGGCGGCGCAGAACCCCGCGACAGTCCGGCGGTGCCCTTCGCGGGGCTGTCACCCCCGACCAGGCGATTGACGGAGGACGAGCGGTTCTGCAGGAGTGCGCGATGGCCGGTGGAGCCGCCGGTCGAACCCCCATGAGACAGCGTCGCCCTCGGCGTAGTCGTTGTGGTGGTGCTGGAAGTAGTGGTGAGTCCAGACAGCGGTCGTGGGCCCTGCGGACTGAAGAGGACGAGACAGGGAACGGCGGACGACACGGGCTGCGGTGCGGGCAGAGGTGGGGGTGCCAACACACCTGCTTTTCCTTCCTGTGCACGTGTTGTTTGCGGCACACCAACCGGCAAAGCCGGCGATGGCGGTGTAGTGACGGCGGTGGTGCTGCTACCTGGGTCAGGAGGAGAGCGGAGGTGCTGCGGAGGGCCTCCGTGCTGCGCCGTTCCCTGTGCCGGCTCGGCGGCTGAGGTTGAATGAGATGCACGTGACGACGGCGGCGGCGGCGGCGGCGAAGAGGCGTCGCGGTGGGCAGCAGTGCGCTTTGCGGCCGTCGCGTTGATACGCGGTGAGCGGGACGGTGGAATGTGGTGGTGGCTGTAGAAGTACGGGTTCATGGGAAATGCGTCTTCAGCTTGAGGAAGAGAAGAGCTGGTGAATGGTGCAGCAGAGGTGCGCTTCCTCTCCTTCTAGGGTGGAGCCTGCAGGGGGGGGGGGGAGGGAGGAATGAAAGTGTGAGTATCGTCTAATGGGTCCCTTCTAAAGCGGGGCGAGGAGGGATGCGCGCGTTCTTTTTGGGGGTTGTTGAAGTTTTTAAAGGGAGCGTCGAAGAACAGCGCGACTACCGAGGACGCCGTTTCGTGCCCGTATGCCACTGGTGGCTTTTCTTTTACAGGGAAAGCAAACAAAGAAGAGAGAAAGAGATGAAAGAAGCGCGCCGCAAATTGTGTGATGGGGATGCGCTGCCCACCGCCCCGGTGACGTTTGCGGTTGGTCGACAAGTGGCACTGCAGCAAAGAACCATACATGAATAGAAAGAGAAGAGAGGTAGAGAAGAAGAAAAAAAAGAAGAAGACGGATCGAGAAGCAAATGCGCTGAGACCGCAGCACAAGAGGTGAAAGGAAGAGAGAAAAAAAAAATGAGCTGCTGCACGCTTCTCACCCTTTCCTTTTCACTATAAGGGCCGTGTTTCGGGTAGCAGCGCGGGAGCGTCTCAGTTGTGCCGTCTTTTTAAACCCCATAGTGGCATCGCAGCAGCCTGGCTCGATCGGGGAGTGAGTTCGCTTGAGGGAGAGGAGGTTTCCGTTTTACTCGACTAAGTAGCAGTAGGAGGCGACAGCAGAAGTTAAAGAACGAAAGAAAAAGAAAAGTCACGCACTCGGTGACGGCGCACATCACTGCAAAAAGTACTGCGGATACGAGCTTCTTAGCTCGCGCGCCAGCGACGCCGCTGAGCGTCGGGCACGGCGCCGCGGATGTGCGGTAGTTGCAGCGCGATTTCCATCCGCGCGGGCGCGCTTGACACAAGCCTTCTCCGTCTCCTTCGTTGTGATCGACGAAAATGCTGGTGGCACAGAGGCACAGGCGGCACGCACGCACAACGATGCTTGCTCTCTCTCTGCCGGCGCTGATTCTCCGCCATCGTTGGTGGTGGCGGTGGTGGTCGTCGCTGCGAACGTCTCCGGCTGCGCACTCGCGTGCAAGACAGGGACATTGAACGAGCAAACGCGATCTGCCTGGGCAGTAGGGGCGGCGAGAGAAGGTGAGAAAACCCTCGCCCCCATCTCTGTAAATGCGACAGCAGTCGTAGTAGCCGCAGGCGCGGCTCTGCTTCCATGCCCCGCGGCGCAGGAAGCGGTAGGCGAGTGCCAGCCGCTGTTGTTTACACAACTAGTCTTTCGCTGCGGCACGGACACCGCAGTGTCGGCACCGGTTGCCGCCTCCGTTACCACATCCTCGTTGTACGGGATCAAGTGCAGCTCCATCACCTCCTCAATCACCACATCAAAGCCGTTTATGGTCAGCTCTGACCCTGCCGTCCATGCCGCACCACGACGTGCCGCCTGCATCTTTGCAAAGATGCGATTCGGCGTCATCCTCGTTCCCTTGCACACCATCACGCATTCCTTCGCATCGGTGTCAAAGAGGCTGGAGCTGTGATAGCCAACCGAGAGGCTTCCTTCACGCTTGGCGCGCTGCTTTCGTGAGCCGGAATTGCGGCCAAAGACGACCCGGAAGCGCGAAGCCCCGGAAGGGGGGTGTTCCATTGATAGTGGGAGCGGATCAGAAATTAGCCGTTGCTGCGGCACGTAGGCGCGTATGTTGAGCACTTTCTCCCCCTTACTTTTTTCTCTTTCAGAGAAGTGCTCTCAAGTTCAGCTGAGGGAGGTGGGAGCAGCGTCGCCAACGGATTCTGCGGGGAACCAACAAAACAAAATTGAGAGGTTTTGTATACGTCCGCTTCACTTCGACATCAAAGGTTGAGAACCCATTGGGGTGGTGCGGTACGAGAAACCGACATTAGGCGGAGGGCATCGTTAAAGAGACAGAGAAAGAAAAGGGGCGAGGGGGCCAAAAATGAGCAGGGCCAATAGTGTACGGCGGCTGCGATGTACACTGCTTAACCAACAGCGCGCGCGGCAACAACAGCATACGTTCGTTCCGCTAGTTTCTTTCGCAGCAGAAGTTGTCCCTCGCTGTCATCGTGAGTTCTCAAAGGTAATGCGCACAAAAATTCAGCGCTTTCATGGTGAACGCAGATGATCTCCTTTGTTTGGTTTGCTTTTCTTTTCATCCTACTCTTTACGCGCATCCACGATGTGCATCAACGCGTGAATATATATTTTTTGTCTGTGTGTGTGTGTGAGAGAGAGAGAGAGAAGCACCCGCCTCCTTCTGACGATCACCTCCAGCAGCATCACCTCCCTCGTGTCTGCCGAGCATCAGGGAGCTGCCTCGCGCACGGCCTCACAGACGTCGCAATAGAGCCTCCAGGCCGCCTCATCACTCGTCGCGGCGGCGGCTCGACCCACCACCCACACCCCAGGCTGCCTTGCCCAAAACATCCTACCCGTTTCAGGTCTCTTTCCCTGTGGTAACTGTCCATCCCTTCTTCGATTCCGGGAGCTCCTGCCCAATCGCACCACACAGATCCGCAGCAGCACCTCCGCCACCCACATCGAATCCGCCGGAGAGGACGCAGAGGAGGAGGAAGGAAACGCGGATCCGCGCAGGCGCACCTCGGCGTGACACCCTGTCCACCGCTGCACCATCGCCGCCACACGCTCCGCCGGACTCCAGCGTGAAGTGCGTTGAATGCGTTCGATGTCGTGGAGGCGGCCACGCAGCAGACCATTCAACTCCTCGCGGGTCTGCCGTAGCATGGCGCACTGCTCCACCAGGTCGCGCAGCCACCAAGACGTTGCTCGTAGTATCGTAAACGGCTGGTTTTCGCCTGCAAGGGAGAGGGAAGGCGTGGAAGTGGTAGCTGTTTGTTGCGCAGACGGGAACGACGGCGGTGGCGATGGTGGTTGTGGGGAGGGCCGCCGCGGTGGGTGCCGCGCCAGCAAGGAGGCAGGCGTTTGTCGAAAACGCAGGCAGCTGCTGCTGCTGCTGCTGCTAGCGCGGACGTCGTCCGTGTCGACTCGACGTGCGTGTTCCCTCTTTAGCGAACCGTCCCCTCCGTCTCCCCAGCAACCAGCCGCGCGAGACCCAGCCGCATGATATGCCGCTGGCTGGTAACCCCCCTCATAACGCGACCGCACCTGTATCGTGGACAGGTTGTGAAAGGCTCGTGCGGATGCAGGCAGTTCTGCCTGTCGCTTGTCTCCGTCCTCCACCTGCTCGTCTCGCATGTCACGCAGAAGTTCTACGATCATGTCCTCCCCAAAGTACACGCTCAGCGCGCCGGCGTAGGCGTGCCAGATACTCTTGGTGAAGTGGGTGGAGAGTCGCCAATTGGCGTAGGGCAGCTGGCGGCTCGACTCGCTCGCCGTCGCCGCTGTCAAGGTGGAGCTACTAGCTGCCGTCCAACCCACCGCCGTCAGTCCCCATGCTGAGTCGCTGAACGAAGGAGAAGGAAGACCTGAGGCGTGCTTCTTGAGACGCGCCTCTCCAACGAGCTGCAGCAGCTTCTTGCCCGCGAGCACGTAAGCTTCTCCGGCTGACGTAGCGGTAGCCGTCACCCCCGGCAGGGGCGTTTGTGCGTCGTCGGCGTACAGGAGGTCCACAGAACAGACGAAGGTGATGGGCAGCGTCGACTGATCGCGGTGACACGAAGTCACAGAAGGGTGGCTGCCGTGGGGCGATCGCACCGTCTGCCGCCACTGCCACCTGAGTCCGCACACGGGCAACGCCGGCAGCAGCAGCTCACGTTGTTGGGCTGTGCTCGGGATGGCAACAGTGCTGCCATCATTTTTTCTTTGGGACAGCAAGCTCAACTGATCGGGGTGCTGTGTGAGTTCCGTGACATCTCGCAGCACCTCCATTTGCGCCAGCGCGAGCGGGAATTGAAGCCGTAATGCCTGCCACGCTGCGGAGCGCCACGCCTCTCGCTTCGTGCGGCCCACACCTCTGCCCAGCACGTATCCTGCAGTCGTCGTGACAGGTTTGGAACTTGCGGCTGGCGAGCCGAACGAGGAGGGCAGGTAGGGACGATGACTGATACTATTGTTGCAGCTTCTCATAATACCGTCAATGAAGAGGGTGCACTCCACACACGGCGGTGCAGACTGCGCTGCTGCGTGGCGACTGGACGCCGACCACGGCCCACCGTCATCCTCAGCTTCCTCAACACCGGTATTATGTGGGTTCACCAGAAGCACCTCGGAGCGATAAAAAACCGTGGAGGGCTGCACCAGCGTCGCCGTGAAAGACGCAGGTGCCGAGAGTGCATCTATGTCCACCTTCGGACATCCACCTTTTGTTGTTGTGTCAGCTGAGTTTGCGTTCGGTAGTACAGCCGAGTAGCTGCAGGAGTACTTGCCCGCGATGCCCTGCAGGAGCTCGCCGAGCAACTTCGGGGCCGCGTAGAACCGCGCCTCGAACGGCGGGAACCCGTCCGCCTCCCGCGCCAGCACCGGGTCCGCCGTCATGCACCAACCCAGCAGCTCTTCGATGGAGGGTAGCTGGTTGGCGATGGCGTGACAGCTCTCGTTGACCTTCGCCCACACGTACCGCAGTGCTGCACGACACAGCACGGTGAGAGCAGGGAGAACGCCGGTGAATGCCTGGCCAGCGCTGCCATCACCACCATCGCAGCTGCTGTCGCTGCTGCACAATGGGTCGACACGGCAACGAAAGCTAACGCTGCGCGCGGATTCTTTACTTGCCGTGCACGCACTCCCAGAAAACGTAAAGGCCTGTGTGTCGAGGCGCAGCTCCACCACACCCGCCGGCGGTGGAGCGGTCTCCTTGCCGAGAGGACGGCTCCTCCACGGCACGTGGCGGCGGCCGAGCCACAGCAACTCCTCTTCGTCGCCACCGATTCTGTCGGCTACAGCAGCAGCAACACCACCAGCCCGCTCCTCCGTTGAAGAGCTGTCGGGCGTGTAGTGTACCGTCAACACATCCGCTGAACTGTTATCCACCACACCAGTCGATGAAGCGGAGCGCAAGGGCGTGGGTAGCGCCACCCTCGCTAACACATCCACCACCGTCCACAGCGCACTCACTTCATTCGCACAAGAATCGATGCAGCAGCGCAGTAAGTGCTGTAACATCAGCGAAGATGGTGCGGGACTCGTTGCGGCTACGCTCATCCCCATCGCAGAGCTTGTGGTGGACGCTGCGGGGGCCGCGAGGGATTTCACGGCCCGCTCCAAGTGCTCACGGGCAACTCGCCACTGCTGCCAGTGGGAAATGGAGCGCAAGGGTCGCCCACGCGCCGCTGAAACGGGCATAGGAACGTCTTGATGAATGTGGTTCACCTCCATCGCAAGCGCATCGAGCCGCGCCACTGCGTCCACCACGTCGCTCGCGTGCGTTTCCGCGAAGAGGACGCGCTGTCCTAAAAAGTCGTAGAAGAGCATCGCGCGGGTCATGTACGCACCAACATCGCTGCTCGTAAACCCATCCGGTGGACTCCGCCACCGCAGACCCGCGCCCGCCTTGACCTCGGCCATCGGTGCCGCTGTTCCAATTGCAAAGCAGCGCACTTGTGGAGTAGCGCCAAACCACGAGTAGAAGAGAAAATCCAACCCACGGCGTAAGAAGGGCTCTTTTACGGGAATGACAGGGTAATGCTGCAGAGCAGATGGACGACTTGCCATCACCTGATCAAACAAAGAACAGACGGCAGCCACAAGCAAAGGGAGTGGGCCACGTGGGTGCCCTGTATCCTCGCACGACAGCCACTGTGAAGGACTGCTCCGGCAGGTGTTCGAGGTCGAATGGCGCGCTGGGTCACTTTCCGCGCTTGCGACAAAGGTGCCTCGCGGTGTTGCCCATTCGACTCGCACCTTTGTGTAAACGTCAACGTCACCGTAAAGCCCCATTGTCAGCTCGCGAACGCGACGCACAGGGTCGTGCACCGCTTTCTGATCGAATTTGACCTCTGGGAAGCTGTCGTGTGACAGGCGAAGCGTTGACCGAATGATCGCTAGCATCACCACCACGTCAGGACAGTACCACACGTTTTGCGAGGAAGCCGCTGAGTGTAACAGCGCTCCGTTGGAACGTGAAGCTGCCGTCTTGTCGTTGCTTTCCGAAGTGGAGGCAGAGAGAGCCGATGGAACCGAGCACGAAAGTGCTGCAAAAAGGGGTAAAAAGTTCCGTGTGAACTCAGATGGGGTTCGGACACAGTTACGGGCGGTGAGATGCGAACCTTTCGCCGTCTTCCTAGACAGATCGTACAGCTGCGCCTTCGAAAAGTGAGGATCATAGTGGCGATACAACGCGCGTCTTTGCACGGCCGTAGACATCAACATCGCACCCGGCAGACACCTTTGTTGCCACAACATTTGATCGCGGATGTGTTTGACGCCTACACCATTCACGTAAAAGGAATTTTTGTTTCGTCTTCTAGGGAGCGCAACTGGAAAAGCGCAGACGGTATACTCCGTCACAGTTTGTGTCTTTCCAGCGTCGTCTAAGCCTGTGGTTCTTTGGGCACCTATTATCTCAACCGACGTGGGAAAGCTATTTTCGCCACTCTCGCCTAGTTCAGTAGAATCGTTTTGCTCGCTTCTGCTAGGGGAGATGCGCACGTCACTCCGTTTCTGCTGCGAGCGTACCGTCCATCTCACGAGCATTTCGTCTCCGCATTCACCGACATTATCGATAACACGTGCAGGGAAACTATGACTCGTAAGAGCGCTGTTGAGATGGCCAGTATCCAGTTCCGAGGTGCTGCTTCCACCCAGCCGAAGTTCGTTCAAGAGTAAGGCGGCCTCCTTCCCGACTTCACGCCATTCCTCGATCACGTGGTTCTCGAGAACGTCAAAAGAATTGGCGATCGCCAGCTTTATTGCGTCGCGGACGCTAAAAGCCCAATCGCCGCTGACACCGAAGTCGTAGTGGAGTGGCATTCTTTGTCGCGTTTCCCTCCACGCATTTTCATTCGAAGAAGACGCATCGGCATTCGAAGCCGAAGCTGGGGTAAGCTGGTCACCTCGAGAAACAGATTGCAGGTCCATTTCGTCAATTGAGGCAAGTTCCACAGAGACAGTTGCTTTGAACACTTGAGAAATCATATCCACACGAGAAGAATAACCCAAATCGTCGTTCGAAGGACGCGGTGGTACTTTACGCGATATTTCTACTGCAGCCGCTCCGTTCAGGCACTTCAACAAGCGAATGAAAGCCACAAACAGATCAGAGTCAAATACTTTCAAAATTCGACCCCACTCGGTGGAGGTTGGAATAATGCGCAGCGCCTCGGTGACTGCAGCAAGTTCAGCGGCATCTTTCAGTTCGTCTGTATTCACAGCGGCCAGCAGACTGCATCTTTCATGAATGCGAAAACAAAACGCAGACTCAAAGCGCTTTCCTTTCTCGTCTACCGGTCGTGTGCGCAGGATCGTCGAACGTAAAAGCGCACCTTGGGAAAGTCGGTTAATACTTGGGTAGTCTGTTTGCTGTGATGGGGTGTCTAGGAGACAGTTGTTCACCAACCTTGAATGTAAGTGTCGTGCTTCGGCAGCTATCCGCTTCGCTGTGCGATACTTGTCAATTTTGAGCGCCAAAGACATGGGTGTAACAATGAAGAAAGCAAAAAGACACACAAGGAAAAGGGATACCCTTTTGGCCCTATTTGAAGTCTGAAGACAGGTGACAACTCTTTTTACTGTCACACAAGTTGTTGAACAGAGATACAACAGTTCTCATTATGTTGTCAGACACAAACGGCGCTTGGTCAAATGCGACAGCAACAAGGGACATAAACCGCAAACGTTACCCGAAAATGGTACCTAACATGTTGAACGAGGCACAGCAGTTAGAGTTTCAACGCGAGGCTGGTGTAACAGCAGCACAGTGTATCGCCTCAAACTCTCTTTTAAAGTCAATCTTAAGTGACCTTTACCGTTGCAAAAGCACCCAAGCAGTTGCACAGTCGCTTGGAAAAGGCGCAGCCCGCAGACGTGCTGCATGATGATAAAACGTCGTGAATGCAATCAGTGCGCGGTTAATGAGCACGTTGAGAAAGAGAGAGAAGTATATAGACGACAGGAAGTAAACTGTGGTCGAAAAGAAAAACGCAGGCACGAGCTCACACATACATCATGCAGTTTTCTTCGCATGTTGCACTTGCTGGACGCTAAATGCTGCACGTAAACAGCGCCATTGCTCTCAATCAAGAGCTCATCAATGATAGTACAGAAGGGATTTTTTTTTTGCGCTGCACTCTGCAATCGCAGCTGTCACATCTTTCCTTTGCAAACACTCTTTAGGTTTCCTAGTGACGTTTAAATCACCAAAGAAAAAAAAAAACGGAAAGCAATTGTAGAACAAAAGTGAAACAAAACTAAACTAAATGTAAAAGATATAACACTAGCACATTCAAAGAAGAAGAAAAAAGGCGCGGAATAGACGCGACAACGATTTGTATAACGTTGTCAGCACTTTTGTCGTTTAGTATGGAGTGCAGAAAAGCGCACCGAGGTCCTTCGGAGAGCATTTCTTGCAGTCAATTTTGGTGAATCCAAGGTCAAGGACGATCTCATCCACGTCGGGTTTATAGACGACGTCCAGCGTCAAATCGTTGTCTGTTAAGACCGCACCAATGCAGTCCTTGGGGTCGGTGGCACCTGGAACCTTGGCGTGATGCGTCTTGGGGTCGTAAATAAAAGTCTCGTTTTTGCACTGAAGATCTAAGCCAAGTCCAACCATCACCATGTCGAACTTATCGCTGCCCGACTTCATTGTAAGATTTCCAACAACGAGGCCATTACCGTAGTTCCCGCAGTAAATCCCGTCGGGAACTCGCTCTCCGACAAAAAGCGCCACCGCAACGCTCGACAAAAGTACCAGAGCGATGGCCGCAGAAAAGAGGAGGCGACTTACAACAGACGACATATTGAGCAGACAGCTGTGATTGTTTAGTTGCTCTAAAAGGCCAGAAGAATAACCGAGAGTTACGCAACAGGCCAGAAAAGAAACAGGAGTAGAGTGAACGACACTGGAGGAGAAGAAAAGTAGAATACCAGGTCAAGCATAAGTAATTCACAACTGGGAAAATAAAACAAAAGGTGAGAGAGGAAGAAAGAGGTAATAATTGGTCAATTTCGCTCCTTCCTGGTAGAAGACGGTGCGATAAGCTGCGAAACGTAACAGAGTTCGTTGAATGCTGGGATGATGCTGCATCGGAGAAGTTGGGTGTTGTTCGCTTTCAACGCTGTTTCTCCTAGAAACGAGGTTTGATTCCCTGAAAAAAAAAGTCACCTTTCACGTGAAGAAAACCCATTATGTACCAGCGCATTTTTTGGTTCCGAGTTCAGCATTTTAGATGGCTGCCGCCAGGGATGAGATGAACGAGTTACTTTCTTCATTTCGCATTACCATGAATAGTGTCCGATAGTGCAGCGCATTCTCTGATTAGAAGGTTTTGATGAAAAGCGGCCAAGCTTTTGAAACGGACCGCACATAATCCGGTGTGCTGTGAACGATACCAGAAAACAACGCTCTGGGTAACTATTATGAATAGTAGATCCGCGAATACAGAGCATAGACGTAGCCTCAAAGTTCCATTTAAAATCCACATGACGTGAGTGAAACAACGACAAATCATATTGAAGAAAAGAACACGCCAACGCTTAAAAAAAATCTGTGGAAATAACTGCATCGAGTTAAGCACGTGCCCATCTGCCACAGCCGCCCACTGATAGCCCACTATGATCATCGAGAGGTGCCTCTCCGAAGAGCGTCCAGGTACACGCAGAGGCCGACAATTGCGGTGATGTTGAGCGTGAGCGAGATCATTAGCACCCTATACATTTTGTCGGAGCGACGCTCAATGTGTGCCACATTGGTCAAACGGATGCGTTCATCGATAATAATGTCTTCGGCAGCGTATAACATCTTACGAGCCTTGTCCAACTCCACCTCGAGTTTTGTTATTTTCGCATTCAGCTTCTTGTGCTCTTCCGTTTGTGACGACGGTGTCATCTTACAGCCGCGTCTATGCAGTAGACGTTCTGGCGCGGAACAGAGAGAAGCTTCTGGTGAGAAGCTAGATTGATACGCTATATTCAAGCCTAGAGCTACAGTGCTTCCTTTCGCGTCTAGCGTGTTCATTACTGTAGAGCTACTTATAGCTGTCTAATGATAATGTATTTAGCTCTAGTGCACTCGCACTTTGTCTATAAAGCGTTGATGAAATCGGTAGCAAGGGCAAACTTCAGGGGAGAAGAAAGGAAGAAAGGAAGAAAGATCTGGCTTGGTTGCCCGTCGAGGAGTTCTTGAGGCAAAGAAAAAGGCGCCAGTAGCTGTGTTTAAGGAGGTTCAGATGGTGAGACAAATGACACTCAAGCAGCCAGGGTCCTTCTGCGCAATTGTGTAGTCACGGTAGGTGATTTTCTCTGTTTTAAGAGAAACCGATTGGCCGAAGGAGGAAGCCCTTTCCTCAAAGGTGTGATTTAAATAGAAGAAGTCGTGCTCAGATGTTCGCGGCCAGTTTCTTGAGAGTTAAAAGTCGCTTCTCGATCTTTAATGGCCACTTGGTGCGTGCGGGTCGAAGAGAATCCTATACTGCACACAAGTGGCTGTCCGCTCAACTGTCTCCCCGAGCGAACCCTGTGGCTGCGACGCTTCCAGGCAGCGAGAGCAGGAAAAGCACGCCGATAGGCCACACCGCCGCGCCCCCCGGGGGCCAA